CCTGATACTTTTTCAAAAATTTCGAATTTTTCACATTCAGTGAAAATTTCAGTGAATAGCTCCTCGATGTTCATGTTACCCTAATACTTTTTCAAAATTTTCGAATTTTTCAATTTCTATACTTATATATATTTTTTTACTCGATACTTAACTACTCGATCTTTTCACCATATGCCGACATACCAGGGACCTACATTACTAGCTGTTGGTATTGGAGGGATCTGCATTACCGACAGCCTGTATTTCAGTAGACTTAAAAATTCTAAATTTAAAAATTAGAAATTTAAAATTTTTCGAAATTTTTGAAAAAGTATCAGGAGAATATGAACGTCGAGGAGGTATTCAATTTTTAAACGATATCTTGAATAATTAGTCATTTACAAAAAGAAAATAGGAATTATTTAAAAAAAAAAATGAATAGTGGCGGGATCGACCCCCAGCCGTCGGCGTGCTAGCCAAGCACGTTACCGATAGGACAACGCGCTTATTTCAAAAATATAATTTTATTAGTAGTATATATTCAATACATTGAAAAATTTTTTTCATTTGAAATTCCACAAAATGTGGCTTCCCCCTTCCGCTCGTTCTACAATCGGCTAAATTTCAGTTAAACAAATAAAAAACAAAAAGCATTCATACCGCAGAATTATTCTCACATATTTCTGGGGTTGCAACAAATTCTTCAACATTATTTATCCTCTGATTTTCCTAGATAACTACTTGTTAAAAAATAAAATTCACTAATTTTGTTAAGTTCTGGTCTGCGGAATATTTTTTAAATAAAAAGAATTCAAAAACGGAAATTCTTTTGACTGTCAATTTCATCCCTAACTTTATATTTTGCGGGAAAAATCCATTTATAGTATTTACAAAATTGCAATATCCTTTTATTATTTGTGTAATTTTATTGTTTTTACATAAGACCGGTGTATTATCAGAGCGGCATACGGCTCTTCCCGCAAGCTTTAATGTTCGAGTTGCAAAAGGGGGTTGGGGTTACGATTATATGATAGCTCCTCCTGGAAAAATTGAAATAAAATTGATCTGAAATGAACTAGTCCGCAACTTTAACAACCCAATACTGTGAATTAATATTCTGATGAATATCAAGTCATTACAAGTGAAGAGAGGTAGAGGCCCAAGATAACTCCAAAATGAAGCAAATTTTGAGTGGAAACTTCGGGTGAGCTTTATTATTTGTTTAATTCCCATGTCTGTTGTCCCTGTCATGCACTCCAATATTTGCGAACGAGTAGAATAAAAATGGTCTTTATCTCTGCAATTTTCATGCTTAAATTCCAAAATTCAGAGGAATTTGTCGTCATTTTGGAGTGAGTGATAGGTTATATTTCCCCTGCTCTCTTTAATCATGATGGTACTCTTACGAGTAATTGTTTAAACTATGAACCGGTGGATGACTTGGACAACTGTTCCATTGTCAAATATTAATTTATCCATCGATCAGCATTGATATTTTTCTCTATGATTTCATGATAATTTTGAAAATTCCGATTGTAACCGCAATCTCAGAAATTAAATAAATGTTTTTAAAAACCATGAGCTTAATTTTCTGTTGTCTTTATAAAAAGTCAATATTATCCACTAATTATAATTAGATTATCAACCTTAACAGCTCACTTTAATAATTATTTATTAATTATTTGATATCTTCTCATAAAATGGATAGATTCTTTAATTACATTTTTGTTGTTTCAGATCCAGTATTTTATTACTCTCCAAAAGCTCTCGTCATCCGAAATCTGTGATCAGTACGAGGAATTTAATGTCCGGAAAATTGAGTAGATTCTACCGACCACTATTATGTACCCCACACTCTCGGTATTTCATCAATCCAAATCGTGGATATGCGATGATTGTTGGCCGAGTGTTAAGGGGAGTCTTGAAAATTCGGTATTTATTGTTGGGCGGTGCTGTTGGAGGTGGTGTGACACTCCAGAAAAAATATGAACAATGGAAAGAGGGTCTACCAGGACTAGAATGGATGGATAATGTCATGCCTACTGATCAACAGTGGCAGGACTTTAGAGGATCCTTAATGAATTTAAAAAGCACAATCGGGGATAAAATCGAAATTGGTAAGAATTGAGAGCAAATGTAAAAACACTCGAAAAAATTATTATTACTAAAATTATATCAAGGAATAAGAAAATAGATTCAAAATTCAAAGGAACATTCATGACTTTATTCCATTTGTAATTAATTCATTGGTTTATTTATTGGTGATCCAGTCGTTATTAGAAGTCAAACGAACAATTATCATTTTATTTCATTTATAATTCATATATGCATCCAAAATGGTGTTTTGTAAAATGTTTAAATGATCATTTTTAACGTGGAATATTCAGATCCTCGAATTAAGGAATACGGTGAAGCCAAATACCGAGAATACAAATACTGGTTTAATCAGCGATTAGAGGATGCAATTAAGGCAGCTGAGAGTCAGAGATTAGAGGAGCAAAATGGGGATATGACGAGTGAGTCTCTCGTATGCTGCATGCCAATAAACGAATTTACAGATTGAAAAAAAAATCTGAATGCCTATTCCCATTCTGCTTCATCCCGGCACAATGATCCTCGCCTCCTTTCACATTCACAAAATTCAAATCTCTCTTGTTATTTTAATATTGAAATTCTGGAAGAATCAACATTTGCATGAATGAATTCCTATAGATTCAGAGGAGGTGAAGTCCTCAGAGTGAAATTTCTTCGTTCCGTACTCATATAATTTGGTCTGTTCTATTCAGGTATATTCGATGCACTCAGAGCCATAGTAAACCAAGTGTATGCAGGTGTGTAATAGAAAAAATTTAAAGTGGAAAAATTACATTTACACGAAGAGAAAAGAATTTCATCATTTCAATTCAATGCATTTAACAGGGAAATGCATCACATCTTTTTGAACGTTAAATTGTTGGAAGAAATTTATCGGTCAGAAATTTAATTCAACAAATCTCTTAAAATTCTTAATCTTTCAGTCTTTAAAATTCTCTCAAAATTACAACTGTTCATTCGTGTTATTAATTACCAAAAATTTGGAGTACATCCCAATAAATTTAATTTTATTCTTAAAAATATCAATTGTAGGAGATTCAATAATAATTGCATTGAATTTGAATAGAAATAATACTTTTCACTCAGTGGATGGCAAACAGTCTGACCATTCAGTATTTCCAAATGTATTTAAATTATATTTTTCGTCCTTGGAATTTATTTTCATTATTATTAAACATTGCTACAATTCTGAATGGGACAGACCTATTACTCCATTGAATTACCCACGATTGGAATGTTTTTTTTTATCTGCTATTCACCTTCCCAATTGCAATTTCATATGCTATGCACAAATCCTCGATAACATCATTCATGGAATTGTTCTCAAATGGTCGTCTACATTCCAATCTTGAACGCATGAATTACTTATCGCTCACGACTAAAATTCATTCTGCTTTCGTATAGACACAAAAAAGGAACTGGCGAAGAGCTCAGTGGCGTATGCCAGGCCTCTGAGTAGTGATTACGATGAGGAACGCAGGAAAGCTCGTAAGTACTATAAATTCCCAACAAATTTGAGAGAAAAACTTAATGATTTCGCAGAACAATTCGATTAATTTCCAATTCAACTTGCAATTGAATTATTCTTTTGAAATATTTTTATGGAATTTTTTACTTTGGACATTTCACCTTTTCATACGCGAATATTCGAAAATTTCTAATAAATTAATCAGAATATTATATTCTAGAATCTTCACAGCAAAGGATGGATGCAATGCAGGACGAGCTAATGCAGATGCAATTGAAATATCAACGTGAACTCGAGAGACTTGAACGTGAGAATAAAGAGTTGAGAAAGCAGATGCTGTTGAAGGGAAATCAGAAGATCAATAGTCGAAAAATTAAGAAATCTCTCATAGATATGTATAGTGATGTCCTTGACGAGCTGAACGATTATGACAGTGCTTACTCGACGGCTGATCATTTACCAAGAGTTGTGGTGGTGGGAGATCAGAGTTCTGGAAAGACATCAGTGCTGGAGATGATCGCTCAGGCTAGGATATTCCCAAGGGGCGGAGGTGAAATGATGACTAGAGCTCCAGTGAAAGTAACTCTCAGTGAAGGTCCTTATCACATTGCCCAGTTCAAAGACAGCTCACGAGAGTTCGATCTCACGAAGGAATCAGAACTAGCAGATTTACGACGTGAAGTCGAGCTTCGCATGAAGAACAGCGTGAAGAATGGAAAAACCGTGAGTCAGGACGTGATATCGATGTCGGTGAAGGGTCCTGGGCTCCAGCGTATGGTTCTCGTCGATCTCCCGGGGATAATTAGCACCGTTACTGTTGATATGGCTGAAGACACGAGAGATGCAATTCGCCAGATGACACAGCAGTACATGAGCAATCCCAATGCTATTATTCTGTGTATTCAAGATGGCTCTGTCGATGCTGAGAGGAGTAATGTCACTGACCTGGTAGCACAGATGGATCCTTCTGGGAAACGAACTATTTTCGTTCTCACCAAGGTGGACATGGCAGAGGAAAACTTGACGAATCCAGATCGAGTGCGCAAGATTCTCTCAGGTAAACTCTTCCCCATGAAGGCCCTAGGGTACTTTGCAGTCGTAACAGGTCGGGGGCGTGCAGACGACAGCATCCAAACGATAAAAGACTACGAGGAGAAATTCTTCAGGAACTCAAAGCTCTTCAAGGATGGTGTAGTGATGTCAGGCCAAGTGACTACGAGGAACTTGAGCATGGCCGTCTCCGAGTGCTTCTGGAAGATGGTCCGGGAGACAGTGGAACAGCAGGCGGATGCTTTCAAGGCCACACGATTTAACCTGGAAACCGAGTGGAAGAACAACTTTCCGAGGCTGCGAGAACTGGACAGGGACGAACTCTTCGAGAAAGCTAGGGGGGAAATTCTCGATGAAATAGTAAATCTCTCCCAACTCTCCCCGAGGCACTGGGAGGAAGTCCTGATGATGAGAATCTGGGAGAAGGTATCCATGCACGTCTTCGAGAATATCTACCTACCAGCAGCTCAAACCGGAGACACTGGTACTTTCAACACAGCAGTAGACATTAAATTGAAGCAGTGGGCTGAGCAGCAGTTGCCAGCTAAGAGCGTCGAGAGTGGTTGGGAGTGTCTCAAGCAGGAATTTGAAAATTTTATGAACAGGGCGAAGCAGAGTACCGATCACGACGATATCTTTGATAATCTGAAGAACGCAGTAGTCAACGAAGCCATTCAGAGGCACTCCTGGGAGGAGAAGGCCTCCCAGATGCTGCGGGTCATTCAATTGAACACCCTGGACGATAGAAACGTCAATGACAAGAGAGACTGGGACGAAGCTGTCCGATTCCTCGAAAATTCGGTTAAAGACAAGCTCCAAAGCACTGAGAAGATCCTCCAGGAGATGCTAGGGCCTGGGAGGAGGGAGAGAATTTTCTATTGGAAGAGTCAGACGGAGGAGCAGGCAAAACGGTCTGCTGTCAAGAATGAACTCGATAAAATTTTGTATTCCGATAAGAGGCATGCACCCACACTAACTCAGGACGAACTGACGACTGTTAGGAAGAATCTTCAGAGGGGTGGGCACGATGTGGATAATGAATTTGTCAGGTCCACTTGGCATCCTGTCTACAGGAGATTCTTTCTTCAGCAGAGTTTGACTAGAACGTATGGCTGTAAGAAAGCTTTTTACATGTATCACAATGGGCATGAGAATGAAACCGAGTGCAGTGACGTCGTACTCTTCTGGAGGATTCAGCAGATGCTCAAGGTCACGTCGAAGGCTTTGAGACAGCAGATCATGAATAGGGAGGCCAGAAGGCTCGATAAAGAGATCAAGGAGGTCCTCGAGGATTATAGTCAAGATAGTGAGGTCAAGAGGAAATTACTCACTGGGAGGAGAGTCGAACTTGCTGAAGAACTCAGTAAGTTTTAGTCTGATGAATATTCAAGCCACGAAACTCTTGATTGTTACGAATTGGAAATCGTTTGTAGTCTTTTTGAGCTATTGAAATTATTTAAGTGAAAGTGAATAATTATTTTTTTAATAAATGTTGATGATTTCATGTTTTTGCAGAACGTGTGAGGCAAATTCAAGAGAAACTGGAAGAATTCATTCAGGCTTTAAACAAGGAGAAATGAATGAACTAATGCAGAATCTCTCAGACATTTATTATGTAAGCACGCTAATGTACAGCGATCCTGGTGATCGACAGCTTCAGTTCAGATTCATCTCGACAGTGTCATTAAAATAAAGAATTAAAACAACGGTGTAACGAGGGGAATGCCGTCAAACTCGATGTCTTGGTCTCTTCCTTGATTTCCATGTTGCTGATTCCTGTTTTCGAATTTTCGAATTTTTCAATTTCAGTGAATACCAATTTCGTAACACAGAAAATAACATTCACCGGGTCGACTAGTCTCTGACAGCGGAACTGCTACTGAGGAAGTTACCGAGTCGGCTGAGGGGCAAACCCCTCCCCATTGGGGTGGCGCCCTCCCTCTCTTGGGGTGCAGTACTACTACTACCGTTGGGGTCACTCAAACCCCCACAACTGAGCCTCTACTTTAGTCAATCCTCTTTGCTTACACCACTCCCCAAAGTAGTATCCAAAATTAGTAAATAAAGATGGTGGAAAAGGCCGAGTCGTGTGTCGTATCGGTTCCCGCAGAACGTCTTACAAAATGAAGTGGAAACAAATGAAGAAAACGACTGACTGGTCATTAACACGACTACTAGAGTCCCGTGTTGTTTAATTACCCCAAAATCATTGATAATCCTAGTGTAAACACTTGTGAACAACACGTGAGAGTCCACAGAAATTCGCCGACAAGACAAAAAAAATATATATATATAATTTCTCCCCCTCCCGGAAAACGAAAGACGGAGAAACTAAAAATTCTGAAAAGCTCTACAGTTGTATGAGAGGATAATTTTGCTCCAGAGTTCACGGTAAGGGAATAAATTCATTCTATATTTAGGCGAGCCCGAGATTCTCATTGAGTTGTCGTCGGTGAAAATTTTAAAAAAATACTCAAGCATAAACTCAACAATTTATCAAGTGAATTATTCTTAATCCCTCCAAGATGCTGAGAGACGATTTTATCATGTGTGGGTGGATCCACAGCTCAACGACTCATAACCGAAGAAAGTGCAGTCCCTGTTATGTTCTCATCACCCACACACCCATATAACTGATCCCCTTTCACCAATTCTTTTTTAAATAGATTGGGAATTTTAGTTTATTCACTCCGGAGATTATGAGGAATTAATTGCTACGAGTCCTGAGGGTAATCCACTGGGCCTATCCGGTGGAAGGGCTCACAAATAAATATCAGTTGGCTATTTTCGTACTCGGGAAACCTACATACCGATCTTGCTGAGAGATACTCAACTTGCATTACATGTTTAGAGGTTTTTAGTCATCACGAGTATTGACAGGATGAACTGCATTGAGGGATTTTTCCTAGTTCCCTGGGCACTGTCAAAAATTCGGTGAAATTTCAGTCACGAAGTCGTTTGAATTTTTCATTATGTGAGTTTGAATTCAATTTCAATTGAAAACGGTCACTAAAGTTATCATTTGCCTTTTGATTTTAAGAAATTTGAATTTTTCATAGCAAATGATAATGGATTTTGCAGTGAGTGTGAGAGATTAGATTTTCAATAATTTGGAAATGCCGGGAAATTATTGAATTTTTTGCATTTCCACGGCTGTTCAGTGTTATATGGACCTGGAAACTTAACTGGTTCGTCAATGAGGAGTTCTCCAGAAATTTCTCGTCACTTTGCCATTGTAAAAGAATTTTTTACTTTAATTTCTTTTACTTGGGATTTCAAATATGATTTTCCAGCAGTGTAATATTTTTTATGGGGATTTCAAGAAGTGCAGGAGAGACTCACGTTTTTTCTTAGGAATTATTCATCATTGGAATGACGAAACGTTTGAAGATAATTGAAAATTTGGTAAAATGTGTGTTGCACAATGAGTTAATGTGTCACATACGAAATATGTAGGGGTTTTCCTGGTGAAATATTTAGTGTCAGTGGTTTCGTCGTCAAGTGTATTGACATCATGCGGTTGGTCAAGGGGATTTAGGACAGATGAGGTCAGACCCGTTGCAATGGAATTCTTTATTTTCCCACGGATTAGTTGAGTTTCATCAAGAATTTGTTGGGAAAATACTATTTTTTTCGGGTTCCAAGTACTTATGTTATTTCTTGACAACTTTATATGCCTTCCAAGTTATATAAAAAATTCCTCCCATTTCTCAATAATGAGAGAATATTCTGACAGCTCAGAGTGTTCTTGCAGAAATTATTGTTGATAGCGATAAAATTCTGGTTGGGATGCGCTGACTCATCAATCCCTTCGTCGAATCAATCGATAAAAAAAGGAAAAATTGGAGTGATCGCAGTCATGATTCATTGAAGTCTATTGATGAATCGGAGAGATTAACGATAAGAAATGATAAAAATGACTGATGGAAAACGGACAAAAATCATAGAGAGGCCGAAAAAAAAAATTGAAAAATCCACACATATTATTCCTTGAATTGTCCATAATAGTCTACCGGATAAATTCGATTAAACGACGTCTACGTGACCAAGGTGTCGAAATGGTTAATTCAAAATTAAGTAACGTCGCGTGTAATGTAGTTAGCACCTACTTGAATTGCTGATTGCTCTTCGTACTCACAATGAACTACGTATGACCAACTGCATATCAGTCGGATTTAGCTTCAGCATTTCGTGGCCTGTCATCAACCGATGATCCTGCTTCCCAATATCATCCGGCAATTTTTTTATCAACGAAAAGATTTTTTTATTGCAAAGAAAGTCATCCTACAATTTTTTAAAATATGAAAACATCTAACAATTGCAATTGATTTGTATAAATAATGATTCAGATTTAAATCTTCAGAGTTTAGAATTGATTAATGAACGCTGGTTCATTAAATTATCTGTTAGTTATAGCCGCAAAGAGGAAATAGAGCGAAAATTCAAGATTTCTCTATTGATTGGTGCTTGGAGAAGTACTTGTAATTCCAAATTAGGTAATACTTTCTTTTGAACAGGGTTCTGAATGGTTTTAGTCGTTGAAATTATTTCGAAGGATTCAGAGAGGTAGACGACGAGTCAATGATCCATGTAACTCAACCGGAACGATTGACCAATAAATCAGTTAACCACTCATTCCATATTTAGTCTCTCCAGTGATGTCATTCGTAGTTGATGACGAATATCTCGTGAACATTATAAAGATTTTTATGGACGTATTTTTCCAATAATATTCCTTTTGAATAGCCAAACGAATTATTGTATAAAATTTGGGACTGATCGAAAAAAATGATAAATCAATGATAAATGCAGGTGAAACTCATGTATTTTTTCTGACGATGTGAATGAGGGAATGTAAAGAGTATTTTCTCGGTGCATGAGAAACTCGCGAAAAATAGCTCATGAAATTCCTCGGTACATAATAATAATCGTGTGAATCACCTCTAGTGTACCTGACCGACCGTTATGTGACGTTAAATGCAAATGACGTCATGGAGAAGCCAGAATGTTTAAACTGATATCGTCATGTGTTGTGGAAAGCAACTGTTACCTTCATTACTCCTATTTACCCCTGGGTATTACATGTGACTTTGAAATGAGCGACTGCACTCAGCAGGTGGGGCTCATTAAAAGTGCAACACCTTTTCATTCTTCAATTTCAGAACATGTAAATCATAAAATATTAACTGCTGCATTTTATACGAATTTAATCCCTAAGTTCTACATGACAAACCGACTTAATCATTTATTTATCAATTTTCCGGTTTCCTCTCCAGTTTTTAGTTAAGAATAATAATTCATCGTGTTTTGATATCGAAAAAAAATATTGCAACTGCAGTACTTTATTCTGATATTTTTTTATTGATGAAGTCGAAGTAATGATTATTTAATAAATGATTAGTAATCCTTAAGGATTGAAAAGTTCTCTTTGAGGTGGGATTATGTGTTTGATTTTAGGAGCTGTCATTCGTTTAGCTTGGGAATTATAATAATTTTTTGTTCGTCAGGATTTAGGAAATGCTTTTTCATTTTTTGAGAATGTCGAATTCGTAGGACATGTCGCGTTAAATTTATATCCAAGTGGATTGTAAAACGTAAATAGCAGCGTTCGCTCGTCAGCAAGGTTACGACCTCGGCCAAGTAATTCCTGAATGTTTTATTTAATAATTATTCCTCGTGGTTTTCAGGTTGACCCCAGGGAAATGAGAGTCACTAGGACGTCACCCCCCGGTTTAATGCCCACGCGACGGCACTAACCTGACGCTAAAAATAATCGAACGAAATAATCAAGCACCGAGAACAGAAGCCAATATAACTCACCCCGCACATACACACCTTGTGAAAATTAATCATTATTATTGCTGTTAATTATCAATTGACATTGCTGAATTATTCTCTTCAACGTTCTGGTTTTTACCCAAAATTCACGTTTTTTTATTTTCATTTTTATGGCGAATTATCGATAGGATTGACCTGAAAAAATATGATATAAAATATTTTTGCGTTTTGTCATTATTTAATGACTCGTGAAGTTTCAAGGTGGTGCCAACATTTTTCTGCGTTTTTTCTTAGCGTAAAAAAACATGAAAATCATCGCCTCATTACGAAATTTTGTCATTCGCTATTAAATTTCATCAAAATTAAGTCCCAAGTAAATAATGCCGAAACTCAAAGACCTGACATTTTTTCACAAAAAACCCTTCGATGATCCGCCAAAAAATTAAAACACGTGGGAAATTGTTCCTATATTGCATATCATATAGTTATCTTTGTTAATAAATTAGCAATATACTCCCGAATGGTTATTTTTTTTCCGATTATTTTCGAGATGTCATAAAAAATATAATTTTCAGAAAAAAATAAAAAATAAAAAAATTGATGCATGAGATCAAATTAAAATAAAAAAACGTGACTTTCTGGCTAACATAGTGTCGAAAATCCCTAGAATTCTTCTTCAGTCTCTACATTATGGAACTTAAAAAAAATTCATTTTCGTCAGTCCAAAATTTGAAAATTACAGTCCCTTCCACCCCACCACCCAGTCTGATCACCCTTCGAAACTTCCGCCATGAAAAATAAAAACCATTTTTATGTGTTCGGATATCCCCCGAGTTATCGATCGTCCCAACTCATCAACCCAATTTTTAAATATAACAGAGAAAATGTAGAATGATTTTTTACGAAGAAATAAAAAAACCAACGAAAGAAAGAATTATAATCTATCCTGGGGAGTCTTTAAGGGACTATTTCTCTTGAAATTTCTGATTCGAGGGGAATGAGATAAAGAAAAACAATTGAAAGTTGTTGCGTGATATGAATAGAGTGATGGGAGGATCATTGCCAACTTTTCTTGTTAGAGTTTGATGAATTTCATGAGCCAGAGGAGAAACTTCAATTCGTGTCAGCTTCATTCATTGCTTCCATCGTATAATTCACTTGGTTCTATCGACGAACATGATGAAGACGTCCTCTAGAACTTCTATTAAGTATTTGATTCCGTTGAATTCTTCTACTACCATTTATTATTCTTTTTCTAATTTTTCACAGCTGTCAGTTTTTTTTTGCATGCACCTGTCACTTCTCCCCTTCAAATCGAAGATTGCAGACTTCATGATTATATTTATGTTCTCCAGAATTTTGCAAGTGCAGATTAAAAACTTCACGCTGAAATAAAGAAATTTAATTTTTGGTGAAGTGTTGAGCAAAAATCGATAGGAAAGTGGAAAAGTTACGCGAATAAATCCTTAGATTTTTTAATTCAGGATTCCTCGGGAAATTTCAGGAATGCCTATAATTAGTCTTGGGGTTAAAATGATTCATCTGATTTTCTAGAAGAAAAATCCCACACGATGCGGATCTGGACATATGGTGAGAAAGGAACAGACACAAATGCACATGAGATTTCTTCCCAGAAACAACATCTCGCGTCGTTTCGCCCCATTTGTGTCACTTTCACCTTGAATCTCTCTATTTAAGATTAAATCCCATCTCTGTATTCCAGAACTCTGGAAAAAACACTCATTTTATTTCTCTGACGTAAAGTCGCTGGAAAAAATTAATTTTCACATCAATAATTGCGGTAGATTATAAATTTGTTAATTCGACTCGCGAATTTTTCTAATAGTAAAATTCATTGAGACTCGATATGTTACCAAAATTGATAATTTTGGGGACTTTTCATTACCTCACAAACATTGTTCTACTGAATCTAAGAAGGCCTTGAACAAGTAACTTGAAAATCTGGCGTGAATCCATTGAAATGCTGAACGAAAAACGTAACTCGTTGAGTACCAGATTTCAAATGTGTTAGTATTTGTATTGCGAATTTTGCTTGGTGGCGATTTTCGAAACAAGACCTGCACACATGTGTGTTTCAAACTTGTTGGTTCTTCTTTTTTTGTTAGTGAAGTGAGTAAAAGCCAAGAAGAAACGACAGGGCGACACACGGCGTCTTCTGTGCACCGAAAATAAACCCTCTACAACATTCTCGTTCTGTCTTTTCATCTAGGTCCCGATCAGATCGGCGAGACGCTTGGCCCGTAGGTTTTACTGATGAAAGATTGAAAAAAAAACAAACAAAAAAAAGAGGAAAATCTATTGGGCGAGATAGAAAAATTGCACGAGGGTCAAAAGAGCTGCTCGAGATCCACTCATTTTTCAGAGAGAAACAATTTTCTTTTTCTCTTCATTATCTTGATATCCTCATGGGAGTGAACTTGCGCAAAATTTATTTAATATGAATGACTGCCAAATTTGGGAGATATAAATGTGGGAATCAGTACGGAACCAGTCAAACTGGTTTTGCCAATTTTATTTAATTGGTCTTTTGTTAGTTCAGATGTAGATAAACGAAATTTTTGGTGGAGAATTTTCGGTGAGCTCTTCCAGAAAAATCCCCAGCTCGCTAACCTGAATACCATATTGTCTCCCACAATGAGCCCTTGAATCTGTTACAGTTCCTGAAAAACGGTAAAAATGGTGGTCGGCGAAGCGAGCATTCACAACATCATGGGAGGGATGGAGAGCACAGGGGGTGTGCGACTCCACAATCACAAAAGAAAGTTGAAGCAAAGGTAAATTCTTAAAAGCACCTATCAAGCCACAATCCAATTAACTCTCTCTCTCCCTGCAGATTCGACATAATAAAAAAATTGGGCCAGGGTACCTACGGCAAGGTTCAGCTAGGAATAAACAAGGAGACCGGCCAGGAGGTCGCGATAAAAACAATAAAAAAATGTAAAATAGAAACGGAAGCGGATCTCATTCGAATACGCCGTGAAATTCAGATAATGTCAAGTGTTCAGCATCCAAACATAATCCACATTTACGAGGTCTTTGAGAATCGCGAGAAGATGGTGCTGGTGATGGAGTATGCAGCAGGTGGAGAACTCTACGATTACTTGAGCGAAAGGAAAGTCCTGGCCGAGGAAGAGGCACGTCGAATATTCCGTCAGATATCAATCGCTGTTTTCTACTGCCACAAGCACAAGATCTGCCACAGAGACTTGAAGCTGGAGAACATTTTGCTGGATCAATCTGGCAATGCGAAAATCGCTGACTTTGGTTTGTCGAATGTATTCGATGATCACAGACTCCTGAATACCTTCTGCGGGAGCCCCTTATACGCTAGTCCAGAGATTGTCAAGGGTACACCTTATCATGGTCCTGAAGTGGACTGCTGGAGTCTTGGAGTGCTCTTGTATACTCTAGTTTACGGTGCAATGCCCTTCGATGGTTCTAATTTTAAAAGACTAACTAGACAGATCTCAGCGTCCGATTATTTCGAGCCCAAGTGTCCTTCGCCAGCCTCACCCCTCATCAAGGACATGTTGACGAAGTGCCCATCGAGAAGAGCAGACATCGAGAGGATATGCTGTCACTGGTGGGTCAATGAGGGTTACGATCAGAATTGCCTAGACATTGCTGAGGATTTGGCTGCTCAGACACCTGTTAGACTCGATCTACTGCTCTCTCTGGTGCCTCAATCAGCGAGTGCTGATAAACTAGTCGTGGGAGATCCCAGACCTGAGCCCCCAGTCTCCAACATGTCCTCGGAGACTCTTGCGCCAACCAGGTGTCACTCTGTTGGAAGCCTCATGGAGCTTGACAGATCGACTGATGACAAACTCAGGGACATTGTTGAGGGTATGGAAGAGGAGCGAAGCGCTCCTGGTGATACCAAACGCAAATTGGAGCTCACTCCCTCCATGGAGGAGACTGTAGCTGCTGGTACGAAGAAAAAGGAGAGGTCCAGAAGAAAGGAGAAGGATGAGGACAGGGAGAGGGAACCCAGGGCCTACAAGTCCTCGTCCAGGCATCACTCAGCCCCCATTGGGGCGTCTATCACTGAGGAACCTATGGAGGTCGATCTCAGGGATCCGGAGTCTGCAGATGCTCTTCTCGAGATGCTCAAGGAAGTTCAGGAACAGGAGAGGAGCAAAACTCCTGTTGGCACCGAACCAAACTATCAAAATGCTGAAATTAAGGTAGGAGAGGAGAAGAGTCCAAAATTGGGGGCTAAGGGTAAACAAATTGAGATGGAAACTGCAGCAGCTAAGGGGATTGTTGATGGGAATGGAAAAGAAGCTGGAACAGAAGTACAGGGTTTTTATTCAAAGGATAAATCTCAGAGCGAGGAGAAGAGAGTGAAGACGAAGGCGAGTGATGAGGAACCCGCGGTGGGACCTGCCAAGCCCACCGAGAGGAGGAGATCTAAGATCTTTGAGACTGCTGAGAAGTTCAATCAATTGGCTAGTAGTGCTTCCATGGAACCCGATAAGGCGAAAAAGATTTTTATACCTGGGGTGAATGTTGGTGGAGCCAAAAGGGCGTTCGAGAGGAAGGCCAGCTTATCTTCTATCGCTCCTTCTAGTATCAAGCAGAATTCTAAAGTTGCTGATATTGATAAGACGATGGAGAAGGGGGAGGAGAAAGCTGGAGGGAATGAGGGGGCAGCTAAGGGAGTGGAGTTGGCTGAAGAGGAGAGAAAACGGGAGGAGGAGAAAAAACGGGCTGTGGATATTATTGCCGGGGCCCTTGGCAAACCCCCAATAAAGAAAGCCCTGAACGGCTCGCCTCCTCTGACCCCTCAGACTCCAGATCCAAGAAGAGTTGGACTAAAAATCCAGGTGGGTCCGAATGACGTGAGAAATGCGACAATCTCAATAACAACTCCAGTGGACGAAAAATACCCCGAGTTCGAAGTAACATCTGGCAAACCAGTGATGGACCACTCAGTCGTCACGTCTCCAGGATCAAAGAGCTTGGACACTTCTTTATCAGAGGAGCCAACGATGTCCAGCAAAATAGAGATAACCCTGAAGAGTGCAACCCTTCCAAGACAGAGGAAAACAAGTAAAGCAGAAATAGTCCTCTCTGGATTCAAGCCACCGTACAAATCTGAAGTTGAGGCCAAGATTGATGCCTTCCACCCACAGAAATTGAGAACTCAGAGGTCAGAAGTGGCATTCCCAGTGGGTGGGATTGTCCCACAGGCCAACAGATCTGCAAGTCTTGAGCCTGAGAACCGAGGAAAACCCAGTATCAAGGAGAGAATTATCCCGATATCTGTGGAGCAAGGGCACCAGAGTCCTCCACCTCACGCCAAGCCACCAATGCCCCAGAGATCGTTATCCCAAAAATCTGGATCCTTATCGAGACAGTCGACTGCTGACTCTGACACTGACAGTGCACTGGGCTCCACTGTGGGCCCTGAACCCATCCGAAAGAGCCCCAGGGAGTACATCATTCCCATTGCTGTCGAGGGAGGCGGCTATGTCACCCCCAGGTCTGGAAGTTTGGAACCCGAAAGCAAAGGGAGCACTCCCACCACTGCTAGTGCACCGAGGTCCAAATTCGGGAGACCTAGGAGAATGGGATCTCTTCTGTCTGATGCTAGTGAAGATGAGTCACCTTTCTCAACACTACACAGGGATAGTGATGACCTTCTCCAAAGGCACATGCACCGCCTTAGGAGTTCTCGACCCTCGAAACAGGCCCCAGAACATGCAGACAGCCTTTCCTCCGGAGAGGATGACGATGACGATGGTTTTGAGTTGCTGACAGCTGAAAATCTCTTCTCAACTCTGTTGTCAAGGGTCAGAAGTTTAACACAACGTCTGAATGTCGATGATAATAGAGGGACAGGCTTCCCCAGGAGTAGATTGCTCGAGAGATTGGGGTCGAACTCCTCTCAAGGTTTTTGGGGAATGCACGAGCCACTTTCAAGGTATTCACATTTAAAAAAAAATGAATTTATAGTCTAGTTAATGATTGAATTTATCTCGGGGATGATATTTACATCGTGTGTAATTCGTATATTGAATTCTAATATTTTCCTTCATCCTTGCAAGCCACGACTGCTTCAGGGAAACGGAAATAATCACAACGTGAGTCAATCAGTGTAGAAATTCAATTCAACAAAATACTTACAGACACTATTCGCTATTTTTTCAACTAGTGTTTACTTTTATTTCCATCTTCATTCACGTCTCCATGTTCTACGGTAATTCAGAAGATCTATTAATGTATCCCTTGGCATCACTTAACTGGAGTTACAATTTCAAAACTGCTGTTATCGCTTTTGAGCACGTGAAAGTATTGAATCTTTTGGTGCACCAAAATAAAATGGGACTGATATACTTGAGGCAATATATTCTGTCGAGTCAACTGCTTATACTCAAGCACGCCTATCAATTTCACAGACATATCAGTTTCAGCCGAGTATATTTTTTTTTCTCCTATTTTTATGATCAATTAAGACACGACACACTTGACTATTTTTCTTTTGATATTTATCTTGTGATTATTTTGGGAGGGAGAACGTGAAAGATTATTCTCTCGACGGAAATTATTATTTGATTCAAAGTGATGGAAAACATCGAGTAGCTCTTCATTTCAATTATATAATGATTGATTTTCCGCGCTGAAGCGCTAATTCCGAGTCTCGTAATTAACTGAAAATATTTTGCAGGCGGATGGCAGAAACCCCATTCAGACGTTCCATGAGTCGGGACACAGATAGATTTGGTAGAAAGGACTCAGCGATGTCGTCGAATCCAGCGACTCCTAACAGTCTAGGAAGGAGTACACCTTCCCGGGAGAGTATGTTCGATGCTGGATCCTCCAACACCCTCCCCAGAGGTAAGAGCGTGCGACACGTTAATTAATTTACTATTTACAGTGGAAGCGATTTTCAACAAAATCTCCTTCCCAGAAAAATTACGGGTCTTCAATTCGATAAAGTCCGAAATATTCGAAATGCTCATTGAATTAATGAGGCGAGCGGGAAAAATTCAAAAGAATAAATATCCGCTCTGAAGTATTATAAAATAAAATCGATCCACTGTAAAATATAAACATAAATAAACCGATGAATACGACAAAATCAAAGAGACACAATTGATGTTGTATCATGTTGTGGCACGCCTTCTCAGAAGCTTGAAGATCATGTGATAGCCCGTAGTTTTGCTTCCGCAACTTCTCTATGACAATAAAAAAATCTCCCTTTTGTTTTTCCATCTATTACTGACGAACAGTTAAACAGCAAAGCTTCTGTAGAGTCGTGAGGCGTCTCTATTGAAATAAAAGCCGAAGGTCTCGTCATCGAACCCACGAACATGACTGGGGGATCGATGACGAAATTTTGGATATATTAAATTTTGTATGCATCTCCTAGTACCTATTAGCTGTTGTCGAGTCGTTGATAGACAAAGCACATCATTTTTCTGTTAATTTTTAGTGGTTTATTCACCTCTGTCATATATTTTTCAATTATCTTTCAAACCCAATAATTACATCATTCACTTTTGCCTGTAGATGTTTTTGCACATTTCGTACTAACAAGGAGTTCATTAGGGAATGATTATTGCGAGGGATGAGAGGATGTTTAATTAGTGGAGTCATTTAAGCTTCTTGAGGAAATTGAGAAGATTCACTTGTTGCTTCTCGTTCTTGTGTAATTTTTTAAAGCCAGAAGTCTTGAGATGTTTGGATTCATAAGAGATACAAGTCTTTGTCGAGATTTGATGATTTAACGAGGGATCATTATTTTATTCAGAAATCGGCTTGTCTTGAATTTAATCATTTCATTATTTTAAGGGTATAAATATTTAGAAAAAGCAGGAGATTAATGAAGAAAGATTTTTCCAGTGAAGGTTCTATTCAAATTATTACTATTACTACACCTCTGTATATTTTACCTGCATGATTCCTCACTTTATTTATTATTCGTGAAATTGGTAGTCGTAAATTTGCGTTAAGTTTTTCCTTATTCCATGTGTAAAAATTCTGAGATACCTCGAAATTTCCGGAATTCTTCAGATTCAATTATTTCAGTATTGACTTCTCCAGAAATTTCTTAAATATCTCATTATTTTAACTGAAATATCTTGGAATATCGTGCCATATCGATCGAATTTTTGACAAGTCCTCGAAAATTGGATCAAATATTTCAAACAAAAATTCTGTATCTTTCATTCAAATATATTTTCCAAAAATTTCCCCTAAATCGGTTTGATCCGCCAAAACAAATTGTAATTATTTAAATCATCGCATTGACAAAGTGGATCTTATCTGTTTTTTTTTTATCATTCATAGCACGTTGTCATGTCAATGGCATGAATGCACGTAAAATAACACGTATGACAACTGTTCATTCCGATAGAGTAATGGAAATAATAGAGAAAAGTACCTGCAAGTCCTGCAAGAGAGTTCAAGAAATAGGATATCACAATTGAATTAATAGCTTACATTTTCATCTAAACCCGGTAGATTTATTTTTTATTGCTGCGTTGCTTATGTACGAATTCTGTTCACATAATTTTATTTAATTACCTTCATTCATTGTAACAGCGTAATCATAGCAAATATCCCGGAGGAAAGACCTAGCATCTACCAGAGTTATTAGAGCATGGAGTTTTTTTTTTACACGTTCATATACAAAAAAATCATGAAGACATTATGATGTCCATTGGGATAGTAATCGTTCAGATTAAATTTATTACCAAATTCATATCAAACCCATTCATTAATTCAAGTAGTGGATTTTATTCCAAGTCCCTTCGAGCTGTCCAAAGTCTATCGTCGACTCTTCAATCAGTTGGAGAAATTATTTATCGAATATTCATTTCAATTATTGTATTGCCCATCGTGAACTGATGGTTTGCAGATTGTATTTTCGGTAAGAGATGATGCAAAATATAAATTATAAAGGGTCTTCATTCTATTTATTATTATTTATTCGTCCAAGAACTGATGACTGAAAGATATTTTCTGTAGTTCCATTTATTATATAAAATATTAAATTTAGTTTCAATGTGTCAAAAATTATTCCGCCTTTTATGGATTTGAATTTCATTAGCTTTTAATTAGCGCAGTAATCATTGATTCAATGAAAAAATTCCAGTAATTTATCTAGTATAATAACTCAATAATTCTCTCATAAAAATAAGAATTGAATGAGAAATAATTTCTTATTCAATTGAATTGAATGGATTCGAATTTTGATAGTTGTTATATTGAATTGATAACAATTTTGGCTGCTAATTAAATTTTTTTCCATTGGACAGAAGCTCTGAGAGTGGGGAATGTGAATTTTGAAAGCCCTCAAATACCGAAAATACTCTCTAATAGTTATCACCAATAAATTAAAATTCGATCAACTGACTCACGGTCTTTTGACGGTTGTTACAGCGACCGTGCGAGTGACTCTCCGTAGGCGGGTGGACGGTAATCCCCAGTAGAAAAAAAAATAGATAGAAAAATACCAATTAGGTACCAATACCAATTACCTAATCTAGCAAGGAATCAGATCATGCAGTCATCCATTTTTTTTTTTTCGTCTCATTGACATTATATTTATCTAATTATGGAACGCAAATTCAACAAGAGAAAATTCAATGAACCAGAGATAATACTCCTGTTTTTAATATTCGAATGAAGAAACGGTCTCGTTGATGCGAGATTATGAAAAGATTATTGTTATTGTACAGTTGGAAATAAAAATGTTGAAGATTGTCACATGCAGGACGTCTGAGGATTCTCAATCAGATGTAATATTTAAATATTAAATAAAAATCAAGCGAATATGCTCGATGTTAAGTGTATGGGCTAGTAGGTATCACTGTTGGAAGTTCTTTGAACCTCAGAGTATGATTTTTCCCAAAATATCTCGATCAATTACTGAATTGTTTAAAAATTTATCAAATGTTACATTATTGATAGAAATTACCCCAGTGTGTGAAAAAAAAACACATTAAAATTATTGTATTGTATTAATTTTCTTGTATTGGAGAACAAAATCGATATTATTATCAGAATGTTTTTAAAAATAATTTTAATAACAATTCAGAGAAAGGAGATATGGAATAAATCGTACTGAGTATGTTCGAAGAGTTGTTGTCCTTTTGATTTTTATCGTTGGAACTAACATTGTTACATGATAATTTTTATATGACGACGCTAGTGATTGTAACGTAATTCGTAAAACCGCAGTAATAAATATGGATAACTGAATTTTATATTATCGCGAGAAATGAATGTGAAATTGTTATGACGAATTTATGATTGATGAAGTAATATTAGAACTCGAAGACTAACCAGTGTCGATGGCTGAACTTTATCTGTTTTTGTTTGATTGGGTTTAAATAACAGTTTTAATATTAAAATAGTACGTTTTTTTTTCCTTTTTTGTTCCTTTCACTGTTCACGGAATGCTTTGCTTGGTGCTGCCCTTTATTAGACCTCTGACAATCTGCGGATGTCCATGGGTTGAGAGACTACACGATTACACGATTAGTGCATCTTTGTTGCAATTTTATATCAATTATTTTTCCTGGAGGAATTACTTTTGGAATGCGGGTAGAATGTTTATCCAGATTTTCAGAAATTCATTGAGACATGGTAATAATGCGAAATGTGCGCGCCGCCATCTTGGAAGCCTTGCGGCTGAAGCTAACAAAATGGCGGCAGCTACAACTTTTAATCACTTGGTATATTTCAACATTCAATTACAATTATTTAGTCTTCTGAGATCACTCTCAACTCGTTTAATAATTTTTCTCGAAAAAATAATCTTTTTTCAAATTCATCCGTTACGCTGTAACGAGACAATTTTAAATATTTGTACTTTGGATGGATAAACATTCTGAACAGTCAATTGTAATCCAGTCATTGAAATAATGAGTAATTGGAGTTGTGCCAAAGACTCGATAAAGAAAGCTGACAGTTTTTCGGGCGATTATTTTGATCCTTTTTTAAAAAACTGAAGTGAAACTCAAGGCACTGATCAATGTCAATTCTACGAATGCCATCGAACATCGTTGATGTACCAACGAAAAGCTGTCAGACGAGCTCAATATCTTCTCGTCTATCTTGAAGTCCTAAAACAGAACAGAATAGTTTCACCAGCAATATAAAACTCTATGACTACTAAAAATGAAAAATAGAGAAGTACGCAAGAGCGTACCAGCCAAGTTAAAGTCTGTATTTAAACAATAAAAGAGTGTAAATACCGAATATTCAACTGTGAAAGAATTCTTTCCTTTAATTAGTCTCACGCACACTAACACAAATTATAACTATCGATAATTTCTTCAGGATACTAGATAAACAACTACAAATCATTTCTCAAAAAGTTTCACACAAAATCTGTGCACTATTTTCATAGAATTTGCAATGGAGAAAATTCCCGTACAATTATCCTAACAAGATTTTTCCTGGCTATGAACACAGAATGTTCCCTTTCCTTTCTAATTTCCCTTTAAAAATAAACCGATAATTCATCAAATCAAGTCCGATAAGAATTGAAAACGATAAAATAGTAGGAAGACGGACGAATGATAAGAAACCAATAGTTAAAACTGTAGAAGAAGAATCGCAGATATCTGCGAAGGAAGTTTGTTCTTGCCTCCCTTATTTTTCAGATAAAAACGACGACTCGGAGTTGGACTTGAAAATGATAAAAGAACTGCAAGAAGAGCAGGACGAGGACAAGAAGTTTACGCCTTGTCTGGCGCGAAGATTATCCCGACAGTTCATCGAGAAGACTCGTCTCTCGTTACCGAGATCTCCATCGATTCCACGGGAACGATTACTTCGTTCATCGACAGAGGAGCCCCTCAGTCTGACGGACCTGGAGCTGTCGATGCCCTCCTACAGGAGTAGATCGAGTGACAGGAGTCTGCGGAGAACAGGAAGCCTCCTAGAATCATCTGAAAAACCAGATAGAGCCACCAGACGTAGTGTCAGCCTCTTCGAGGACAACGACGATCCCCTCCCACCCCTTCCCCGTCAGGTGATGACTCTGGGGCGAAAGTACAGGGATCAGGCGAAATCTCCGAGCAATGGAATCCGCAGGGACTCATTCCAGACGCAGAAGATCCAGGAAGAGCCCACGGACCTGTTAATAAGCCCGAAAAAAAAAGATTCCTCAGAGCAGGGGCTCTTCATCTCCGAGGGCACCTCCACAAACCTGGGAGATACTCCCAGCACCTCCAAGTCCGGAGAGACATCTCCTACAGACTCATCATCGAGGACTCAAGAGGACTCCTTCAGCTCCTTCAAAGCTCACGCCAAAGAATTCGAGAGCAGACTGCTAGCTGCTGAGAATCTCATTAAAGAATCCAAACTCAGGAACCTGGGGATCACAAAATTCGATCCCAATCTGTCTTCAAGTTATAGAGATACTGACAAGTGTGATAAGGAGCTGCTGGGATCGATGAGTGACTTGACGAGTTCGGTTTTATCCAAGAGAAGAAGCTGCATTCCCAGTCTGAGGTTGAGATCAGGATCTCTGACAAGAGAAGCGTCTACCGGGAGAGAGAGGAGGGAGACCCTCGATGATACCAGTCTGAGGTCATCAACCCCAGAGAGATCACTTCTCAGTAAATTCTTCAGGAGTTCCAGCACCACGAGAGAGGCGGATACCAAGGACAAGTCACCGAAGACCAGGAGGAAGATATCAAGGTTCTTGAGGCCTGATTTCTTCGACACACCCAGGGAAGAGAGTCAGTACGTCAAGGAGAAGGAGGCGCAGAAGGCGGCGGAGAATGAGAGGAGGAAGTCCAGGTTCATAAGAAGAAAAATCGTGGCAGAGGGGAATAACTTGGATCAGGAGAAGAATGAGAAGCAGGAGAAGGAGCTGAAGAACCAAGCTAATACCCTGACGAGGGAGATCGACGAGAAGATTTCGAAGAATAATAAAATCGAGGGCGAGTCCAGGGATGCTGAGGTAAAGAGTGAGCGGCAGAGCCCGAAGAATTCCTTTCTCCAGAGCCTTGAGAGGAAACTGGAGAGATTGAGATCGAGTGACGAGACGAAGATGACGAATGGCAGTCCTCAGAAGGAGATCATGGAAAATCTGACAGCTGCGGAGGGCAACCTTTCGAGTCCTGGGGAATTGAGGAAAGCAGCTAGTGCTGAGGATCTCCCTGCTGAGGAGCCCCAGAGTTCACCTGTCGCCCCAACTAAATCCAAAGTTTCCTCGGTTCTCGGATTATTCAAAAATGATTCAAAATCCTCTGTCAACGGCAACAAACAGCAGAACACACTCCTCAGCAAATTCCGGAAGAATACTTACAAGGGATCGAGATCAGACACCAGTGTCATTGCCGGAGAGACTCCTGGTGGCAGTAAAATTCCAATGAAATCCAAACTTGAGAGTAAAACTCCCCCGAAGCTAGCGAAAACTCATTTAGAGAGGAAAAAATCGGCTGATAAGATAAGTGAGTCTAAGAAATCACCACCGAAGGAGAAGAGTAAAGAGAAGTCACCGCCCAAGGACAAAGCCAAGGAAAAAACACCTTCGGAGAGATCCAGCGTCGAGCGTAAACCAATATCTGATAAATCAGCGATAAAATCCCCAAAAAAACTGAGTCCTGAAAAATCTATCGATTCTAAATCCGATAAATCCGATAAATCCCTCTCAGAATCTCGAAAGTCGGTCGATAAACTCGACAACAAAACCACCGTTCGTCTATCCTCTCCGAAGAAGATCTCTCCAGATAAAGCCCTTGATAATAAAAAATCAGAGGGAAAAATATCGGAGGACGGAAAACCTGTAGTAAAGAAGAAAGTAGGAAAGTCCCTGACGGCAGGGCTGTCGAAAAACGGTTCCGTTTCCAGACTCGACAAGCCCGAGGAAGAAAAAATCAAGAAGGTAATAGTCAAGAAAGAAATTGTTGAGAGAGAGGGGGAGGATGGCACCAAGAAGAGGATCATTCGCGTGGTTAAGAAAGTAGTTAAAAAATCAGAGATTTCGGATAAAAAATCCGATGATAAGACCAAAGATAAACCATTGAGGTCATTGTCCCTGAAGAAGATTGGGTTGAAGAAGGAGAAGAGTCCGGAGACTGTTCTGAACAAATCCGAGACTCCAGATGAATCCAGCAAGGAGCTGCCTCCGAAGAAAACCAATTGCGTCGGAAATTATGAAGAGAGTCCTGAGAAAAACAGAATTAAACCAGAAATTGGATCAGAAGAAATTAGAGGGGATAGTCCTCCAAGTGTAGGAAAAAGGGCGCCGAGTCATTCATTGGTAACAGATTGTCAAGAAATAGGGAATTCCGTGAAGGTCCCAGGCAAAATTGAAGAAATAATTAGCCAGGGGACATCCCCTGTGCTCACTGCAAGTGAGTCGTCCTCCCGCCAGGATTCAGTGGATGTAAAGTCTCGGGTGAACCGAGGTAATTTGAAGCTGGATCTCTCGAAAGTGCCTCAGCACAGTTTCAAGCCGCCATCAGGCTTGAAAAGAGAATCGCCACCCGGTATTCACCAGGTGAATCCACCAGACCAGACCAGAACAGAGAGCCGAGGAGAAAACAGAACGATCACTCCCTCGTATTCCCTGAATGAGAGAGGAAGGGAAGTGGTCTCAGAGCTGCCAAAGATCCTTAATCCCCAGTCTGATATCGAAGTGCCTTCAGGGGGAGATCTGTCAAGACCTAGAACAGCTCTCCTTCGTCCTAAAGCCTCGTCGGAGGTCTCGGAGGAACTCCTGTCACCCACAGATGACTGCGAGAGCTTCGACTCCTGGTCGATCTGCTCCAACGACTTGAACCGGTGCTCATCGGACTTCCATTCACCCACGTCACCCACGTATTGTCCCCCAGGTCGTGACCACTCGGAGTCGATTATCGATAGGATCCGGAGAAAGAGCTTTTACTCGAGGTTCAACGAGAGAAAGAGGAAAAGCTCGTTGACAGCCTCTCCCTCCAGTATATCCAGTAGTCCTTTACCGACTTCATCGACTCTACCCAGAAAATTCAGTTTCAACAGCTCCAGGGACCGATTGAGACACTCCGAGAGACCCGTGACTTTGTATAATGACGATCACTTGAGATTCCGCAAGTCCCCCATCGAGAGGGACAGGTATTCAGACGTTGGGGCTTACTCTGGAGATTTTGAACACCTCAGGAGATACAGAATATCTCCCACACCTGATCCAGCTCACAGGAAGTACCAGAGCTCTGATCTCAGCTTTGAGCATGACCTCGGGATGTACAAGAGCTCCTTCCCTTCGTCAACTTTGAGCGATCCTGTTTCCGACTACAGGGTCTTGGGCTCTCTGGGGAGAAAATATGGCTCTCTGGGGGGTGGCATTGAGCCCAAAACTGCTGAGTATTATGAGGAACTCCTGGCACCTACCAGAATGGAGTACCTCACGAGAAGGACTCCTGTTCCTGGAGAGGGCAAGGGCGAGAATGGATATGTCAATGGACATGCGGAGGACGTCGGGGAAAAGTGGAGGAATTTCCCGGAAAAAGGAGCACTCGATTCAACCGATGAGAGTGACAGGAGCATTGGGGATGATGGGAGGTCAGTGCATTGACAGTTCATTAATATTGATATTAATAAATTTGCGTGATATTTATTGCGTCCGGAAATATCTTCCATTTTTCCCCCCTGTCGGAATTTTGACCAATAAAAATTTCTTTTCTTTCTTCTTTGATCTAATTCGGGGGAAGTGAATCAGTTGCTAAATAAAAAATTTATTTTGTTAACAATTAAAATAACCAGATGAAACTTACCAGCTGTCAAACTTTAATAACGTGAATAAATCAAATATACGAAATAAATCGATTTGGGAATAATTTCTTACAAACTGTTGGTCAAGAAATCGGTAAAAATATTCCTCACACTATTAAATAAATTGAGTTGTTCCCAATTAAATCGAATGCACCATTTCGATTGGTCGAAATTCTGACGGGGAAATAATCTGAAAAATACCCTTCAAGCTTCAAAATTAATCAGGAATTTTTTTTAATCCCATTGATTCCTCCCTTATATTTTTAACTTTGGAAAACTTGTGAAATATGCGATAATTTTGAAGCTCTTCGGGTGTACTACCGAATATTCTGTGAAATTGTCATTCTAGGAGACACAGTAAGACAACAAACGAAGTGAAAGAGCTGTCAGCTGCTTGTCCAGATGCCGAAGCAACTGCATCAATCGTCGAGTGATCTGAGTCAACAAATTTCATGATAAATTAACAACAATGTGCCAAAGATCATCGTATATCTGCAGCTATCTTCACGAAGAGAACAACGAAACTGACCAAAGAATGCTTAATGCTTAATTGTAACTCAATCGTTAAAATATGAATTTTCTACGTACTTATAACGATAGGTTTAAGAAGTGGTTTAGAATTTTACGGGATTTGTTGGAAATATGGACTTGTGAGATTTTAGTCAGGCTTCCCAGAGGCTATTCTTTTTTTTATATAATAAGAATCAATTTGGAATTCAGATGGGCTGTACCCAGTGGTTTTCTCACGATGAGAAAATCATCCACTGAGGAATGCTTTTAAATTTTTAATTCATGTCATGAAGTTTTTTGTTTTCACGAATTTCTTCGTGGGGAATATTTAGTTATTTTCAATGCATTTCTCGTCTTCTAGAGCGTGTTTCTATGAATTTTATATAAAAAATTATTTTAATTGGTTCTCTTAATGATTTTTGAGGATTTTGTCTCAGCTTCCTTGTGTCATCTAGTCGCATTTTATTTCGTACTTTGTCGTTGGCTCTGATTATTTATCGGTGGATAAATATTTTTATTGTGTAGCCACATGTGATTTTTAAATGGAGAGCGAAATTAATAGATAATAATGAGCCTAGAATCATAATTTTCGATAGTCAGTGGTGCCTTCCGCAGAGTTATTGGGTTTGTTACGGAATTCATCATTAATTAGCCACAGGAAAAATAATTAGACCTTAGAAAATTCCCTAATTTACTAGAATAATTATCATTCACGTTCGAGTCAGAGGAATTTTTCGTTGCGATACTTAAATGAGAACCCAACTCTTTGATAGTAGTCGATCAGTCTTCTGTAGTAGTACCTGGCAACTTATTACAGGTGCGAGGAACAGGTTTAATGAAAATTATGAATTTTGTTTCTTCAGATTGTCTTATAAAATATCTTCGAATGTTACATGTGTTTTCTATTCATAATATACATATTTTGCAATAAATCATGAGAATTTACAGTGAGTTTTTCTGCAACTGTTTCTTCCCATTGACGATATAACGATCAATAATTAAAATATAATATAACAAAAAAAAATTTTTTTTTTGATGGTCGATGGTTTGATATAAGGATTTTATATTTCTATGAATAGATTATTTATAATTAATTCTTCGTAATGAAAAAAAATGGGTTTACGTGGAAATGAGATTAAAAAATGGAGTTAAACAAAAATTTTCAAAATTTCCACTTCGATGTTTGATTGAATAATTTGTACGTCATCAATAATGACATTTGATTGGTTTATGAATGTGAAAATGGTTAATAACTGCCTGCAGTCGATTGTATTTTCAGGAATTGAGTGAAATCAACTAAATCTCCAGTTGCATGATAGCTTCTACAAATTAACAATGTTTACGGAACGTCTCGAGTAATGAGTAAAATGGAAATAATCATGAAAATTAATTTTAAAAAATCTAAATTTCTCCTCATTGCTGCTATTTGAAGTTTAGCAATCATTATCAAGAATTGGTGCACTGAGAGAACAAAATGTCTTGAACCTGTGGACGATGAACTTTCGAACGTCTTTGGATATATTATGAGCTAGATCGAATGGATCCTGCAGGCACATGATAGAGTCAATTCTGAATGGTTCACAATCCCTCACTTTACTGACATAATTCCGATAAAGTTTCATGTCGGGTGGTAATAGCGTGGGTGTCTGAAAGTCTTTCTTCTCAACAGCTTTTCCCACTAACGGACAAATAACGTAATTTCGATAATCAAATGCTTCATAAAATTTGAAAAACTGCATGAGGAGTGCCCTAAAGTCTTCATCATGAGTACGAGGCTGGAAATTAGTGGTGACTCCAGTCTCCCAGCCGGCGATGATCTTTGATTTTTTTTTCCTCTCTATCAATTCAGATACCGTTGGAAGTATCATCTTCACCTGGAGGAAATAGATCACCAACCAGGCGATTCCATAACTGCTGATTCCATCATGTCCAGTGAGATCACAGTGTCCTATCCAATTCTTCAAGAAGATAATCAGCTTACGACATTCAGGATAATTATTACAGTAAGCGTTAATCATCTTCGTCTTCTCTACAGTTAGACCATTGGAAAAGGAGATATCACATTCGATTCCAGTCGGCTTGTGAGTCACTTTTATAATGGGTACTCTGCAGTTTGATATAATTCGATCAATGTGCCATTTCACAACGTCTTTCTCAAGACATTTTTTAATGTTCATCAAACGAACTGATATCTCTTTGAGACTGGAGTTATATCCAGGGTACACTTGGTATTTTATACTGCTGCAGTCAAGGAAGATGTCGAAATTGCTATTGCGTCCAGCCAGTCCAGAAATTCTGGAGCCGAAGGGATAAGCCTTCACTCTTGGATATTTCTCCTTGGATATCCTCTCCAGATCCCTGATCAATCCATTCTCACTCTTGCTGTCATCGATCCTACGAGTCTCTACTTTTATTAAAATCTCCTCGATATTCCTCTCGGGCGCACGCAAGAGCCTCTCCGCTAAATATGGCATTTTGTCCACCACGTAATTACCATTACTCATTATCTGATATTTATGTATTTTACAAATCGAGTGGTAGTGAAATGTGTGCAAGAAACCGTACCAGAGAGTTCCACAGGGCGCACAATAATCAAAAATCGTAATAGCGTTCTTGAAAATTTCAATTTTACTCTTATGTTCCTTCCGTTTCAAGTGCACTTGAAATTCACTCTCGACGCTGTACATTTTTTCGCAGGGCACGCACCAGTAGATCAGAGTGTTGTAGAAATTAGCCTCCATCCTGGAGTAGAGAGCTTTGAACCAGTCCTTGGCGATGGCTTCGAGTGATGAATATTTCTCAATGTGGGTTGGATCATTGATATGATGATGGAGCTCAACGGAGTCATTCCCGACAGAAATTCCACAGGCATGACACCGGACAATATCTCCTGAGATCTCTTCCATGTATTCACCAGCAAGAGCTAAATCGCTCAATTGATCTGGATAATCTCTGAATTTCCTGTGATCCTCAATCATCTCCTGGAGTCTATCCAAATGAGTAACTGAGCACAAGTGCTCGTAGAAGATTTGCAATAAATTGTTAAGGCTCTTTTGACACACCAGGCAGTAGATCCTGTCCTTGTCGATGCTAATGGACAGTAGAACCCCAAGATTAATGTCTTCTATTTTATGTCTATCCATTTCATAGATGTTCACGCCGCCGGCGATTGCAATGTCCAGGGGTTTCGTGCTGAACTCACTAGGCGATTCGACTACTGTCTGAAGTGACTCCCTCCATCGTTCATCCACAAACTCGAGATCCTCCGTCTCTACAAGTGATTCAGTCGCGTCTCTCCTCAAAGTTTCACTTGAATCTTCATTTATGCCATTAATTGCACCCTCTGGAGACTGTGTTGCTGTGTCAACCTCCAGGAATCGTTGCCACAAGTGTTGAGTCATGTGGCTGTGATGTTTTTCCGAAAACTCGAATTCCTCATGACAGGTGGAACACTGGAGATTTTTCTGTAGATGTGTCCGAACTCTTGATATTTTTTTCTTCGATTGTTTCCTCTTTGGCTGTTTGACTTTATTAGCGTATGAAGTCACCCCGGATTTCTTCCAATTATCGATGAATGCAACTTCTTTAGTCTTATGTGCTGCAGTATTCGTGTGATTTGAGTACTCGAGTACCGCCGAAGTATGAAGAGTCCCACGAATTTTCAAGTAACAAACTTTGCACTCAATGCTATCAATTATATCCCCTAGATAGTGCAGCTCACGTATATTCTCCAGTGGAATTCCAGTAAGAGAAAATTCAGACTGAAATTCCTCAGGAGCTTTTGCTTTTTGTCCCTCCAGTTTCGTGGCTTTGGCTTTCACTTTCGCCTCGTTCTCCAGATGTTTCTTGCTACTTTTGTGAATATTGACGTGTGAATCATCACCAGGTATCAAGCAGTTGCAGATTAGGCAGGGAATATTGTTGATTTTCTGGGGGAGGATCTTGCTGTCGTTTTCAGATTTCGTAGGACCTGAAGAGGTTACAGCAACTCGATCCTCCGGGTGGACACTCATTAATTCATTCATTAACGAATGAGTTGTTGCAGTTTTGTCTAATAATTCACGTCCTGATGATTGATTTTGGTTTAAAATTTTCTTAATTGTGTTTTCTCCGTATTTATTCGATTTCGTGATTAGTGGAAGGTTGTTATTCGTGCTTGGAATTTTCTCGACTAGTTGGAATTTCGGGAAAGACGTGGGGGAAGTCGTCAGGGAGTGATAAATATCCAAGTCCGAGTCTGTCCCATCTGAATTCAATTTTTCCTTCTCCATTTCGGCTTCAATGCGAATGTCCTCCCTTTTTTCGTTCACTACCGAGAACATTTTTCTCTCTTTTAGATTTTTCAAGTGGTTTCGGCCCTTCACGTGTCCAAAAGTGTTTTTATGACCTATTATTTGCAGATGACAAATATTACACTTGAAAAAATGTTGACTCCCACTGGTTACAATACCTTCTGGCAGTTTTTGTGGTTCACTGTTCTTACAAAAATCATTGATGAACTTAACATGATTTTTTCCAGACGATTTACTGTTCCCACTTGAGAGATCTTGTTGCAAAGTCTCCACTGGCTCCACCGTAAATTGCCTCCGTAATGTTCCCAAGTGTCTTGTACCTTTCGCATGTTCGAATGTGTTCTTATATCCATTTATTTTTAATTGACAAATTTTACACTCGAAGAAAGTTCCTTCTCCAGTACTTGCAATCCATTCGGGTAATTCTAGACTCATAATGTTATCCATTGGGTGTGAAGATTGATTGTTTGTTACTGAACTAGATTTTGATTGTGAACTTGGCGTGGAACTGCTGCTTAAAAAATTATCACTAGCCGGAGTAGTCATTTTTTCAGCTGATGGATTATTCATGTTTATCAAATCTTTGTTATTATTCCATGTGGATATCAACAAATCTGGATCAACTGATTCCTTATCTAACACTATGAGTTCATTATTACTATCTGCGAATGGCACGTTTTCAGTGGCTTTAGTCACGATTTTATGACGTTCAACACTCGAAGACTTCTCGCGTTGTGAATATCTAATATTATTGGTATTGGTATACCCACCGGTTAGCTGTTGCTCTTGTTTGTGAATTAATACATGTGCATCCATATCCTCATTGAAAATTTCACAATTACATTCTGTGCAAATCGATAAGATAGACGTAAATCTATTGTTGGAATTATGTTTGTACTCTGACGTGACTTCAATGGAGGAGTTATCAGGAATTTCTTGGTGAATGGGACGTGTTCGAAACAAATGAATGATTGCTGACTTGAAAACTTCAATGGTCTCCTTCTGCTTCTCCATGTGAAATTTTTCCTCGACGTGGACGAGAATATTTTCATACGAATTTGTCACTTCGCAGTCACATAAATAACAAAACAAGGATTCAGCTGACTTCATGAAAATTGAGTTCTTGGCAGCCAGTTGATAATAGGATGCGGTGTATGATGACTCTGGAACGATGATCTTATCGATTTTATCTTTCCTCAGGGTCTGGTGATGTCTATCTTCGTTGTGACTCTCTACCAGGAACCAAGAAGATAACTTAACCTTGCACAAATGACAGAAGTATTCATGCTCTCTTTGGGAAATAAAATTTTTGAAGAGAATTTCCGGACTCTTCTCCGAGACGTACCAGGGGATTAACTTGTGACTCAACGCATGCTCAATCACTCGACTACAATCCATTCTCCTGAGACATAATTTACAGAGAACAAGGGGTCCTGTATCCGTGAAATACTGGGTGTAATGCTTGAGCCTCTGGATGTGACACTCATCCTGCAAGTGAACTTCGAGTGAAGTTTTTTGTTCCTCTGGGCAAATCCTGCAGGTATAATCATTAGGACCACTACAGTACACTACTGTTCCTCTTCTGTAGATTGGGTATTTCAAGGTGAATTCCATTGTCATTAATCCCCCTGTATTTAAAAATGATAGCAGACGTGATTATCAGGTGATTCTGATCAACCGTTTTTCAAAATCCTTAATCGCCATGAATACTTAATTCGACACATTTCTCATTTATTTAAACATTTTTCTTACAACTGCTCGACTAGTGAGTCATTGAGCTCCATTGAATATTCATACTCACAGGCTATTGTTCTTCTGAAACCGTCAGTCGAAATCACCGTCACACATTTTCTAGTAATTTAATAAAACAATAGCACAATAACTTTAACGTTAGTCCGCAGATTATCGAGATATTTTTAAATATATGGGAACTAAGCGTTTTACTTGCTCGAATTGTTAGTGGATTTTTAATCTCTTAAACAAATTCTAAAGAACATGCACTATAAAGTGAGCGTGCGAAATGAAGAATTTACTCGGTTAGAGAATCCATTATCTTTGCGGAATTGATACAGGCATACGTGTATATCTCGTCAATCTATTGAAAGTCCCCACTTCGGGAAGGTAAACAATTCTCTGGGTATGAAAATTTCTGTGGATGTATCCGTAATATTACTAACCGCAGTAATCTAGTTTTTCGATTTTTTTGTAATGAACATGAGAATAAATTTGAATTAAAATTTTTCTATATCTTTTCATTCTATATCGATATCAGTTTTGCTGATTAAACCCGAGTTTTTCAAATCTTTAGTAATTTTATCTATTTTCAATATAAACAAAAAGAGATTTTCTATAATATGGAATTATATTAATTCATTGTCAAAAGTTCTTGTTCGAGTCAGGAACACGGGGTTTGTACATGACCTGAGTAATTGTACCTCTTGTCTACATTCATTTGTCCTTGATAATCTCTATTTACCACGAAAAATTGTGTTTGAGAGACGGAAAGAGATTTTCTCGAAACATTTCAATTGGGTTAATTTATTTATTTCTGACTGTCCCACGGTCTCCCTCTAAATTAGGTCTTACATTTTTCCTTCAGTTATTGCTCAGTCTTTATTACCTACCCATTATTGTTTAATTTTCCTACCTAGGACAAATTGATCACTCGAAGGACCCGTAACCGGTGAGTAATTGTGAGTACCGGATAAATATTTAAACAATCCAGCATAAAACCATTTCAATTCCCAGTTTGGAAGAGGAAACATCTCACTGAACGCACAAGTTTTAAATAATTTTTTCTGACTCATCATCATTTCCTTCAGGAATTTCTTTAGTAAACGACCTACTAGTTGCTAATTGTTATTATTCTCTATTTCGATCTATTTATTTGCCCGTAATCCAAATATTATGGCAGGATTCAAAGAAGACGCTTTTGCGAAGAAACTTCTGAATCTCAATGAAACCCACAGCAGCATTGTGACACTGTCACTCTGGATGATACACTACCGCAGACATTATCAGATTATAGTCAGAATCTGGTTCGAGAGGATTAAGTGTGAAGGTATTTTTCGGGTACTTCCCATCAGTTTAATTGCAATTGCTACCTCTCGAGGCCTCTGCAACAATTCCCTTGCTTTCTTTATTTTATTTGTTTTATTTTCTTCCAGTAAAGAACAGCAGAAAACTGATGCTCATGCATCTGGCCAACGATGTGATACAAAATAGCAGGAATAAGGGACCAGAGTTTGGCCGGGAATTCGGTAAAGTCCTTCCTAAAGCTTTCCAACACCTGAGGACAAGTGATGGAACGACCAGGGAAAAGCTAAATAGATTATTTACTATTTGGGAGGAAAGGAAGGTTTACCATAGGAGACAAATTGTGGAATTTAAAAGGGCCTTTAGCACTGCTACTGAAAGAATCCAGGAACTGGAGTCACCCTCGAGGCCACAGAATGATGAGAAGGTATGATTAATTTTTTTTATTAAATTACGATATCATTTTAATGTCGCGTTCATATTACCCTATTCCCCCTATAAATATTTCCTATATCCTACGAATCAATGTTAGAATTTCGTGCGAAAAAATATTGGAATATAAAAAAAATATTGAAGTTAAACCCTTCATTAAAAATGTTCCTTAACAATAACGAGCAATACGAAAATTAATCCGAACGAATCTTCATTTTCCAGGAATCCTTCAAGCAAATATTAAAAAAGCCAAGCAGATTGATAGATGATAATAAACTATTAGAAATATTCGGGAATTTCATTGAAGAATAAATATTAATAAAAAGATTTGAACACTTTCTTCTTATTCCTGCATCAATATCTCATTTTTATTTAATTTCTCGTTGTTATAACAAAGGGATTCCCTGCTCCGAACAATCTTCCCACAATGCCCCACTCCCGGTTGCTTGAAAAATCTCGTGATTCCGCTGGTACCGACGGGTGCTGCTACCTGCCCGCGAAAGACCACGAAAAACCAGAGTAATTTGAAAACTCCCGGGAGATGTCGGGCTGACTCGCGCCGACGTTCAAGTGATAATCGACAGATTGAGAAGTAGCAGAGGCAGTTCCCAAAAGAAAAAAGGGAAAAAATTCTTATTCACCCACGATGCGCTAGCGCAGAAGGTATGCCCCGTAATAATAGTATAGTGTGAAAATAAAGAATGAATTATCAACAAGAAAATCGGCAACCTTGTATTCGCGTCGGCCATATTGTTTGTACGCACGTTGCTGGTTGAAAAAAAAAAAAAAAACCCTCGCAATTGCGAGTAGTTGTGTGGAGTTTACGGTGTGTGTCGGAAGGGAAAAGAGCCCCGAGTGTTTTAAAACCGAGGGGGAGCGCCCGGAGAAAGGTAAATATTTATTCTCGGTCGTGTGTGGTGGATTAAAAACCCCCCATTTTCTTCGATTACTCACATTATATCGAATATATTTTGTGAATCGCGCCGGTTAGTTCGGTCCTGAGGTGCGGTGCAGGCGCACGTCCCCTTCTCAATTCGGTTTTACTCTAATTTTATTTCGTCGGTATTGAATGTCTCAGAGGTAAATATCAGACAGTGTGCTAAATTAATGGAAAAATTAAATGATAAAATTGAGGTGATTTGAGTTTCAGTGATAAATCAATGAAAAATATCAATCAATCGACCTGGCCTTCGGTATTGCACAACGATAAATCTCCGCTCACTCCATAAAAAGATAAATAACGAGCAAATAGACTCCTAGTGACATGATCAAAGGTCGATTATGTTAATTTGGGTTTCGTGTTTTATTGGGAAGATCAGGGATGAGGCAGATGGGAAAGAAAATTTGAGGGAATGGGGAATGGGTTTTATTTGGGCTTGATGGGATAAGTGGGAGTCAATCTGTGGTGCGTTTTCTTGGGGTAAAATTATTTTAGGTGGGAAAAACTTGTGGAGAAATCTCGAAAGTGCTGTGAGTATTTTCATCGGTACGTCATAGTTGCAATGACGTGGGACGCATAGGTTATAAAGGGGCACCCGGCAAATTTTCTGTCATTTTCCTACACCCGATTCTATCTGTATCCGTTTTCTCCGGCTCCGAAATTACACCGGAGAATCATCCCATTTCTACTTTCTACATTCAAAAATACACGAAAGCCGAATTTTCAGACGTAATTTTAGAAAATAGCACGTGTGAAAATTCACCGGTTTTCAGGGGACGGGTTAGGTTACATGTGGATGCTTTAAAAATTCTGGGGAGTAGTTTGAATTTTTTTTTTAGTTTAAATCAGAAATCGATACGAATTTTGAAATATTGGGCATCGATTTATCCCAAAACTGTAGGTTTTCAGAAAAAAAATGCTGAATGCATTTTTGTCGGACATATAATCGACTGCAATCGCAATTTTCGAGATTAATCGGTAATTACGATGAATTATGAATTAGATTTCCCTGAAATCAACAAAAAAAATGAAAAAAATCAAATGAGCGGTTTGATTGAATTTTAAGAGCATGATTCCCGGAAATATTTAATACTAAAAAAAAACATTTTTCTAAGCCTGTTGTAAACTTTCTGCAACAGAAATTTAAATAATTCTCTATTAATTAACCAGAGACTTAAAAATTCTCGTGAAACTACGGCGATGTAGGGCTGTAGAAATATTGTTGTAAAAATTTCCTGCCTGGCTTACAAGCGGAGATATCCCCCCGAAACTCACTTCTCATGAAGTGAAATCCCTCATTCCTACTTTATAAAAATAAACTCAAAGTTGTGCTATGTATTCTGACCTCATCAATAGCACTGCAAAGTCATCCCTCCCCTGTCATTCTGGATTTTCTCCAAAGCCCTTGCTATCCAAATCGAATTTTCCGGGTCAGATAATAAAACCAAACAAGAGGCAAAACACCTGAGTAGGTGAGAAATCGTCTTCTTCGTATTGCGTCGCTATATTACGGTCACTTCCACGTCATTTTGTCCATCGTAAACAACTACTAAAATTGCAATAAAAACATTTAAAAAATCCCGCGTTGTAATGAAAATCTAATCACATCTAATAACATTTGTCATGTGCAGAGAAAACCGGAAAAAAACGATAAAACCAATAAAAATGGCGATAATAATTGATTGATTCCATTAAATGCACCCCAAAATCACCAAACACTTGATAATATAATGCCACCTGCGGACATTTCGTATTACAATAAGTTGATGTACCCGAAGAGCAATAAAAAATTGTAGGGATTACCCGATTTCTATGGGGAAGTATAAAACCTAAAATCCAATACAAATGGAGGCCCTAACGTTCCAAATGCACGCACCCTTATCGATTACCCAGTTCTACCCTCTTGAATCCACTTCCCCAACAAAAAATCCATTCAAGCCAAATGTTATGATAGTGCACAGTGCCAGCACTCGCTATTGGTGTTTCTCCCTGATGTAAAAAATAAATATATAAACAGAAATTCATGAATCAACGTTTTATCGGAATGCGAGAAAAGGCCTGAATCAGTTGCGTAAAACGTGGCACATTAATGTTTAATCTCGCTGTAGTATCTGTACGTTAACGAGGCTTATCCTCGATGACGTAATTCCCTTCCTCCTCGTCTTGGGATCGAATAAAACGTATATGTACTGTGGATTACAGTCACACTCGTTGTGCCCATCCCACTCGGCATCTCTTCTGTTTTCAGTTGCATGTACAGAGTTGAATAACGCCTGTGGCATTTGATCACCAATCCAATGCGAACGCTTCTTATGGCATCTTGATACTTAAAATATCTTTTATTTGATAGGTGCATGGCATTTGCTGAATCATCTGGGTAATCCATTTTTTTTTACGGGTTTTTCGAGAGTTGCCAGTTCTAGGGAAGAGTCAATGATGTGACTATTTTTACAGCTTCTGTTCTTGTTATTGGAGTTCTTTTTATTGATTCATGATTTTTAGGATTATTTATTGATCAGTACAGATTTTTCGATAACTCTTTTTTTTTTTCTAAATCCATTATTTGTCATTCGTCGGTGGAAAGTATTTGTGAATCTTAGAAAAACTATTTTCTGTCTCCTTAGTTCAGATGTCGGCAATAATTTCAAAATTAATTGCAAAAAATATTAATTAGAAATTAAATCGACTTGGTTCAAGAAAACGTAAATTCTCGTATGAGAATATTAACTTCAATTTCATTAGAAAAATTCTCTGGGAAAAATTAATAGAAAATTGATTTATTTCTTTGAGAAAAAAAATCTATTCTCGTCGGTCAATATTAATTCCAATCCCACTCCAACCCCATTAAAAAAGAATTGAGAGAAAATGAATAATTTTCTGTCATGTTTTTTTTTATCTATAGATAATAATTCTTCACCGATGTTACTAATTAGAAGTGAAATAAACTTCCTCAGAAAAAAATCAGTTCGCGTCTATCAGTACTAACTCTAATCTCATAAAAAAAAAACACTTGAAAGAAAATGAATAATTTTCCATCAGCTTTTAATCAAGTAAAAAGCATAATTACTACTCCCTCGTCTAGGTAGAACAGAGGCGTGTTAAAGTTGATCGTTCGATGCATACAATTACGTAATTGGGATAAAACACGAAGGTCGTTGCGATAAATTCCATAAATCATCCATTGCTCCCGGGGGAAAATGGAGAATTCTCAGTGGTGAGGGAACACTCTGGGGCACCCAAGACTTCCGCATTATAAATTGATCAGACAACGAATAATAAATAATCCCCGAGTGCGCTTATTTCTCCGCGTTTTATTATTTGCTTGAATTACATTTTCATACGATCGAAGACGCCCATGGTACATGTTTTCGTGACTGCGTATTATCAAGCGTTTTTATAAATAGATAATCCTCACAGTCTCAAGTTGTGTGCACCGAAGAGATTTGGAAAGTCGCCACTACTCAGGAGATTCTGCTTGAAACCTTTGGAATTTATTTAAGTATACTTTCCAACACGTGTGAATCACTCGGTGTCTTTTGTTGGGTCGGATTAATGACTCCGGTTTGTTGGGTTTCTAGTTTTTTTTTTCCTTCATTCAGCGATGGGTGAAAATATGTGTCAAGCCAGAAACAATTTCCCATATCAGTATTTTATTCTTGTAGCTCTCAAAAAATGTTTATTCATCATTACTAATGAGCACTACTTAAATGAAATAAATATGTAATCTGATAATAATTAGAAATCTATTCTGTGGGTTTAAGACTTGCAACTGAGATAATACTGAAATCCATATATTTCTTCTGAAATTGGTACTTCATTGTTCAAACATTCGAAATTAACTGGGGCTGATAGTTAACAATTTTATTAATATTCCCGGAATAATTTCTGAATTGATTTCTAGAGTTTTATCGACTCAAGAGAATTTTTTTTAATTCTGTATTATTTATTTCTTGTAGATAATGATAAGAATCGATCATGCCTCATGATAGTTGTCAATCAGTTTCCCCTAGGCGATGGGATAATTGAGAAATTCGAATTTTCAAATAACAAATATATAATCATGTGTCCACTCATCGGAGAACTCTATAAATACCCGAGAAACAAGGAAACAAACAAGTTACTTCATCCATTGCATACCATCTGACAAAGCCGCTTCAATTATGAAGTTAACGAGAAAGATCACATGTCCTATTTTTTTTTTGTTTGCTTTCGAGATATTTTTTGTAGGTCGTCCATGCAAATATAGATATTCACCGGAATAATTCTGATTTCTACCAGCTTTCAGCGATAATCAACCTTGAATTCACCCTTTCTAATGATTTTTCCATAAAACTGTGAATTTTAATTATGAAAATCCTTGAAACTCTAAGCTGTAGTACGATAAAAATTGTAGGCAAGTGTACACAAAGTGAAAAACTTCTCTGAAATTATGAAACAAGTTTTCCAGGCTTTAGACTTTTTCCTTCATTACAGGGAATTGCTTTATAGATTTCCAAAATCTCCAACAAACTTTTCCAACGAATTGTTTTTTTTTACGGTTCAGCTCAACTTTTTTTATTTTTCAATTTTATATTTTTCTATCACTGACTCATGAAGTTAGAGTCAGACGACACAGAATTATTCCATGATTCATTAATTAAAACTAGCTTTCGAAGATCGTAATGAGTTTGGCCTTGCCAATGAAAAAGGAAACGAGACAATCATGACAATTAGTTCTGATTTTTTCCAAAAATTTATTTAGCACGTCAAAAAATTCTTGAACGGTGATGAAACTTTGTGAGACATTGAATAATAATAAAAATTAGAAACACATGATTTTTCCACGTCAATTTTATCGACGATTTCTCAGGAATATATTTTAAAAATTTGAAAAATGAGAAGATAACGGCAATAACTCCTCAAAACGCGGATGACTAAAAGTGACTAACTGGGACAGCAATAGTTTAGCAATTGTGGAAACATTTACAGCGAGTGGCTCGACAATTGCACAGCACTCAATATAAAAAGATAGAAATAAATATATGAGGAGGGCTGAGAAATCGCTTCATCACGCGATTGCTACGACCTTCTTGTTTGAAGTTACATTTCGAGAAATAGAGAGTGTACCGAGACAAGTGGTGAATTTTTTCCACTACAACTCGTCTCATCATTTCACCCTGGGATCGCGTGCTCGTAGTATTATCGAAAAGAGTAGTGGTGCTATTTTTAAAAATAATTCCAGCAAGTTGGTGTATGAGAGGCGCTAAGTAGGTCAGCCACTAAATGAATCCACTAAAACTCATTGTCGAGAGGGGATTGCTGGATGAGGAGAGAATTTGTGGTCTTTCGTATGTTCATCAGTTGGTGGTTTTTCAAGAAGATCCATAAATTCAAGGGGTCCTTGGATACGTCGCTCTGCTCGAGATCTCCAATGCCATGTCCTTGGCCACTGCCTTATCGAAGCACCATTTTGAATTCATACTTCGTAAAAGGGTCAATTCAAGGATTTCGTAGCATTGAATTTCAATTGAAATGGTTGGGGACAATTCAAGGTTTATTTCTAGGTTGATTTTTGGATTTATCTCTTGAGCCACCATGAGGGAATAATTGTGGAGTAAGAGTTCAGAATGTACTAGCGATAAAAAATCATTTCAAACTGGATCATTAGCTGTTGATAAATCTCTAATTTATTTTAATTATTATTTAATTACGGACGATTATTCGAATGAATTGTTGATAAATAAATATTTTTCGGTTCTTTCATTTCCGGGAGATATTGGTGAAACTCGAACCAATTATTTTCAATAATTATCGCCAATGATTCCTTAAAAAAATAATTAATTATAAATTAATTTGACTTCACCTAAGAAAAAATCGATTCTCGTGTACAAATATTAATTCCAACCTCATAAAAAAATCAGTCGTGGATAATTGTTCAAAATTAATTTGATTTATTATTTATTAATTTCGACTGAAAATTGTCAATCGTCGTTGGGGCTTTGAGTATTTTAGATTGGAAGTAATATAATTATTATTTATAATGATTTGAATTTTTTTCAGGGGATACTGAACTGGGTGTCAACTGATTGCACTTCACCACCTCAGTGCAATGTCATACCATCGCAGTGGACATCCAGGTGCAGTAGCAGTATACGGTGCAAAGCCAATGGCTACATTATCGCCAAATCGAAGATACTCCAGTACAAATAGCACAACAACAACATCTGGAATTGGCAGTTCAACGACAACCACTAAATTCAATTCATTTCGCGGTCCCATGGGCACATTGGAGTGCAACTACTCCACAACGACAACATCGAGTTATCGATTACCACCGAGGAGAATCCACTGTTCTCCACCTAGGTAAAAATTGCTCAATGAATACTGAATACGTATCCCTTTCACTTCATTCAAACGATTCAGGATACGACTGATCGTTGAGGGGCCATTGCACCTCCTGAGACGGTTTATGTCAATGGAAATGGGGAATAAATAATCGAGAGAATGCGAACGCGATAAGTGGAGGGTTTTGCAGGAATTCTAATCGTTTCCTACCATTTTTTTCACCTTTCTCATGTCTCAGGAAAATCTCTTGCCATTCACTTTGCAGCAAGAACCTGTAATTAATTGGAGTTTCATTCAATTCAGTATTTCTTGTTTACTTTGTTGCCCAAGTTTTTACTTTTCGTTTATTACGTTCTTCATTTTGATTTACGTTTTCGCAGATTTATGATAGAGTGAAGTGATTTAAAATTTTAATATTGCACACAAAACAAAATGATCCCAAGATTTCTCTTCCTCAACATTGAATTCTTTACCAAGAGCTTGCCATTTCCATGAAAACATTTAATCACATCTTTCAGCAGGCAAGACAGAGCCCTCACCTTAAATTCAGCAATTTCGTATTCATATGGCAATAATCTTCTCCAACATTAATTTCTCCTTCCCTCCATTGTTAAATTCTCCATAGAAAACAAGCGTGTGAGAATACAGTGCCCCTTTCGAAAACTGTCATCCATCCTCGGTAAAGCGAATAATCCAGTGAAAATGGTGTAGAAGGAAAGCCGAAAGCATGCGCATTCTGAGGTACCGAACAACTGAGAGAACGACAAAGCTACGGTCATGGCTTTTGTCCCCATTTGCTGCCACAATGATCCAATTAAGGGTCCACTGCGTTGACGCCTCAGATCTAAAGGCTCTAGGCCACGACCTGGCCTAGCGAATAAAAAAAAAATGGAGAGAGAGGGACCGAGTGAAGAAATAAAAGGAAGATGCGGAGAAAAGAGGGAAAAATAAATAAAACGTTTCAAGAGTGGTATTGAAGGGGCTCTAGGTCACACTTGCATTCTTGACACGGTCAAATCTTCAGTATTTTGGGGCCGTCCCTGTAAAACAAGTCCAACTGGATTCACTGAGTTTTGTTCGTAAGACAAGACCACGAGAGCTAGTCGCAAAACCTCCTGCACTGTCACAACAGCATTAGCCGATTAGTGGTCTAGGAACTGGTGAGGGGAAGTCCTTCATTCAATATTTTCTCTCATCCCTGTGTGTATTTCTTACGTGGAGGGATGAAAAGAAGGTCATGACCACGACACTCGTCACTGGCATAATTATGAAATTTCACCAGGTGGCTGTTTCTTCTTCATTCACTCGTCAGGCATCACCCCTCGAAGGGTGTGAACAATAACGTGAAAACTAAACAGCTCTGATCCCTTTGACGGCTCGAGATTTACTTGCAAGTGAAACTGATGCTAGTACTCGTCCAGACTCTCATAAAAAATTCATTCAATTTCCATTTTATTGCAAAATTTGTTTCTTTCATGGTTTTTTATATTTTTTCATTAATCATTTATACTGTTTTATTTATATCAGAAGTGTTGTCCCGTAAATCATTCTATTTAAACACAAAATCAGAATTAAATAGAGATTTCACCAGAAATTCATTTAATTTCGAGTTCAAATTTCTGCGTTACAATTGCTGAATTTCAGGAGTTGAAATTCGAGAGTCTCGAATTTCAAAACATATAAGTAATCCATATAAGGATTTCCATATCTCTTATAAAAAAATAATACTTCACAAAACCAAAATCCATCTCAGCATTATCTCCGTTTTCAATGAAAAACTTTATTACCCCCAATCTCTGAAAGCGCATCTACAAAACCTACCCCATCTCTCTAAAACAAATGGCGTCATAAACACGAGATTTACGACAGATCGTCAATCCCATCTCCGCAGTCTCCTGAAAATCGACAACCCCATCGACCCGAGATTATAGAGCCATCGAATCCAGTCATTAAATCTCGACATCCCTACCACCAATGATCCATTGCTCCTCCCCCACTCGAAAATCCTGAACATCCGCATCCCCTTCCCCCAGAGAGCCCCATCGATTGATTGCGCCTGCCCAGTGCACTACCCCAATATTTACGTCTGCAAAATCATCCCGAAAACTCCGTGATCTCAAGATGTCGGGGACAAAAGCCCTTCCAACAACAAAACAAAAGAAAAAAACCGACAACCCCTTCCCCCAAATCAATAAAGCTCATCACCCAAAATGCCCTGAAGAGCTGCCCCTGGCGATGCCAACACCTAAAACCGATTGCATAAGAGCCCTTGGACCCCAGCCCAACATTCCCAAAGACTAACGCACATGTGCCACCAAAACTCATTGAAATCCAGTGAAATTTTTACAGGTCAGTCTCGTCGTACAGCGACACGAGTGCAGTTGTCTCACTGTCGACAACTAGTCTCCCAAAGTACTCGTCCACAGGCAACTCATCAGCCTCATCAACGGTCTCATCAACCTCGAGTACACGTGAACGTACGACAACCCCAACATCAAAATTAACACCGGACGAGTTCTACCAGAAATACTCACCCACAAATTACGTACCAAATATATCAAGCAATCGTGAGACAACACCAGTTAATGGACACTACAAACCATCGTACACACCGATATCAGCTGAGCTGTATGGTGGTGATGAGAGGGACTCGATACACAGTGACAGATGGTCAAGACAGGCAAAACGTCGTAGTACACCGCTGAGCAGCATATCCCTTGGTCATGACGATGTCGATTGCCCCAAGAGCCACCACGAGGTAACAAAGAGCCAACAGTGCAATGAACGTTGTGCTATTAATACAACAATCGATGAGAGTGATAGTAATGCTAATAATAACGATAATGGTGAGTTTAATGTTAATTGCAATGGCGTGAAAATTGATGATAATCATAAGCAAGAGGTGACGTCGTCGTCGTCGTCGTCGAGTTTGTCATCACCAACTGACTCTGGTTGGTGTGGATCAGAGTCACCAGTGTCTGAGATTAATCTAACAGCTACTAATAATCGTGATAGAGCTTGGAAAGACACGACTAATGATAATAATGAGCTGTTGACTAACAATAATGCACAGGAGTGTTGTAAGCGTCCGAATGGGTGCGAGGGAGAGGGAATCGCTGTGAATTCTTATGGGAAGGGTGGTGAGAACGGCCTCAGGGTGACTGGAAGACCAGCTGGTAATCATGGGGAGGATTCCTCAAAACCGTCCACCTCCAAGAGGAATCATATTTTTGGATGGAATGAACCACTTGGGGAGAATGGAGGGACCTCTACTGGCACCAGTGGACCCGTTGGGGTTCATCAGGCAATTTATCGGGGCCTCGCTGATTCTATTGTGAGTATTTTTTTTTGCTGTGGTTTTTCATTATTATCCATTGCTTCTGAGCTTATCAACTTTAAATTTCAATTTTTATAAATATTTTATCAATAGTTATTAATGGATTCAGTAAAATGACATACATGTTTCTTAGTGATGATCGATTTATCCCGACTAGTATTGAGTCAAGGGAGAAATTATAGTGGACTTTTTTGCAACTGATTGTTTTTTTGGGAAAAAGTCTTTTGATTTCTCATAAAATCAGTAGGTTTGGGATTAATCGATGTTGAAGAGGTAAAATTCGACGTATTTTGTCATGCCAGTTTGGTGGTGTTAATTTATTTATTTGGATGGTGATCTATGGGGAATTTATAGGTGAAGTAATGGGATAGTCCAAAAGGAACGGTTCGTTCCCTAGAAATGTGGCAATTATAAAAATTTTGACAACGAAATCCCCGCCCAATTACTCATTTTGGCAGTGATCACAGTTTAGTTATTGAGCAATAAGCCAGGTCGACATTTAACGTTGGCAGTGGGCTTGAATAATCGGTCCTCGGTGGTACCCGATTACATTTTCGAGGTCTGAGACGACAGCATTTGGAATCATAAAGGGATAATGGTCTCTGCTGTTGGTACGACATTTTTGGTCAGTGGCACGTGGATTATCAATTATTTAAAATTCCAAATGTTTCATAAAACCATTGATTTGAGTTTTGTCGATATTAAATACCGCGGACAACACAAAAGTTGAGTTCTCTCGATTATGAGGAGAGTGAAAATTCATCGCTTGGAATTTGTGTTTTTGCCTGTGATAAAATAAAAACATTGGTAGAGTAACCATGAGCGATATTCCATCTATCTTTAGTTTCTGTCTTGAGTGAAACCGTGAGTATTGTCTGGTGTATTAAAAAAACCGAGTGAAATGGGCTTGAGGAGAACATGAGCCATTTGGACCCACCAAAGGTTAAAATCCGTCTATAACTTATCTTCAAATGTTTCGAAATCCCAGTCTAACGCTCTTAAAGCTCAGATCGACTCTTTTTATTAATAGAATACGGCGGTTTTCCCAGTGGAACAGTCAGTTCTAACTGTTCGTTTTTCACGGTTACTTGTCCAAGAAGTTATATCAACGGACTCTCCACCGATCTCCATCGTCGATAGCTTTAATCAGGGATTTCGTGCCCCTCGAGGGTTGACAAGAATTTTCAAAATAATTTGATAGATCAACTTGCATTTTTTTATATTATGCCGCCATCTGGCGATGCACTCGTTGGATCGCTGATTATTTTTCACGTAAACTGGCTCTTGTTCAAGTAATAAACTGGTGCCTGTGGTCAGCTTGGACTGCAGCAGCTCTCGGTTTTGGTTTAGCTTTTTTTCTTGGAATTGTCACACCCCTTAGCACTTTAAAAATTCATGACACGAGATATCACTATGTAGTCGCTATATCCAGGACTGTGAGGGTCAAGGTGAGTGGAGTCCTTTATGTTTTTATGATGTACAGTGGATTTTAATCTGTTCTACTCTTTTTTTTGGCTTCTGTGTGACGCAATTGGTTTTAATCCGTGGCTAATGATTTTGGGAAAGCCAGAGGTCGAGGGCAGACGTCCTTTGGTGATCAGATCGATGAGAGATTTTCGGTGGTTGCTTGATGACGATTTTCGTATTGCAGGAGGAGAGCTCGACCAAACCTGCCAGGAGCAGAATCACTGGGAGAAGGGACGAGGGATATGGGCTGAATGGATTGAGGAATATTGGAAATACAGTGAGTTTTTTTTTTTCAAATCAACAATTTGATTTCGATAAATTGTCAAAGTTCTCGTTGAATTGTTTAGAGAGGAAACGTGAATATTCAGAAAATAATCTGTTCAGAAGATTTTTCGTCGTCTCAAGCACAGGATGTGCCTCCAGTATTTATTCTTACTTCTGTTTGCAGTGTTTCATGAACAGCGTCATCCAATGTCTGAGCAACACTCGACCTCTCCTCGAGTATCTGCGAAACGAGCAGTACTTAAACGATATAAACACAACGACGTCGAGTATGAAGGGTGCCCTGATAAAATCCTTTGCCCAGGTCATACATGAACTGTGGGAGGGCAGTGGTGAGAGGGTTGTCAATACAACGGCACTCAAGAGCCAGATACAGAGATTTGCTCCGAGATTCATGGGCTATGCACAGCAGGATGCTCAAGAGTTCCTTAGGTATTTGCTGGAAGGTCTTCATGAGGATGTCAATAGAGTTACCATCAAGCCAACGCCAATATTGACTGACATACCGGATCACTACTCGTGAGTTATCCTTTTTCATTCCCATTTCTTCATTTTAATCCAGGGAAAATGCCTTTTTCATTCAGTAAAGTTTAATAGTAAATTATAAGTACAAATATGATTTTTATTCAAAGTCTCGTTTGTCTTTTGAGGAGTGGCTTTTTGCTCGTTATTTTAATGGTTTTTACTTTTTGGTTATTGGTTCAGGGACAGTCTAAAGGCGACAGAGAGCTGGAAACGCTATCTTCGCAGTGAGGACAGCACGATAGTGGACGTTTTCGTTGGACAATTGCGTTCCTCCTTGACCTGCACCTCCTGCGATCACGTATCTGTGACACTCGATCCATTCTGGGATCTCAGTCTACCAATACCCGTGAGGACTGGCACTGTCAAGCTCAATCAGTGTCTTGAGCACTTCACCAAGGCCGAGGTGATGGATGGCGATGAAAAACCAACGTGTTCCAAGTGTCAGATGAGGAGAAAGTGCACCAAAAGCTTTGGAATTCAGAAGTTCCCAAAGATTCTCGTCATTCGTATCCTTTTCTAAAATTTTTACAACCAGCAATCGTTATTTTCCAAAATTTTATATTCAAATGCTTTCGATTTTTATTTTTTTTTATTAATTTTTTCAATATGCTTGACCTGAGCTCAATTTTTTAAATATTATTCTTTCACTTATTCTATCAACTCTTCTCACAGTTTGAGATTAAAAAATATCCTGAAGTAATAAATTATAAATCATTATTCAGGATTTTAGAGAAGTTATCTTCAGAAGAAAATCTGTGAAAAATTTTTAATTTTAGAGTTTAAAAAAATCATAATGAAGATTAGGAAGTTTTTTCAATTAGATTTTTTTTTAACATTGGCAATTGTTTCCTCTTTACCTATCAATCTTTCTTAATCATGAGTTCAGATTTGAAGAGATTCTCTCCCACCGAGAGATTCCGGGCGAAATTAAGTGTCCTGGTGGATTTTCCCCTTACAGGCTTGGATCTCAGTGCCTTCGCTGCCCCAGACGTACAGGGCTGCACTTACAATCTCTATGGTGTTGCTAATCATTCTGGTACTCCTTACTCTGGCCACTATACTGCCTACTGCAAGCATCCATACTCAGGCGAGTGGCACGAGTACAATGACAGTCGTGTATCACCAGTATCAGCTAGTTCGGTTATATCCAGTGAAGCCTACGTTCTATTCTACGAGCAACAGCAGCCCAGTTCACATTTGTAGCCAAACGCCACACATAGTTGCATGTAAAAACAAGGGGAAAAAAAAACAGCAAAAGGGATAAATTTATGACGAAAAAAAAATAAACGACGGTACCAGCATTGCCTAGTGGTCTTTATCGACTCGATTGCCAAATGAGTCAATAAAATCTGGAAGCAGAATAAAAATAAAGCGGAGAGAAGCAATTCGATACCTGGAAGCAGGCAGTAGTCATTTTTTCAGATATCTCGCACGATTATAGTCTTTAAATTCCATCGCCAAATCATCGCGAGAAGAAAAATTTATGTTTGTATTTTTCTTCCTTTTGTATTCATCTAATTTTTATCAAGTTTCAATTCAATATTATGCAATCATTTATTCTCTCGTGTGACTTCACTTTATTTTATCGAATGTGAATTGAATTTTTGTGAACATTTTTTAAATTATTTGTTTGACTGAGTGATATCAAACGTCTTTTTTAATTTTTCTCTTTCTGACTCGTGAGTCGTGAAATGGAATTTAATTCTTGTCTCGACATTTTTTTTTCCGAGTCTTCGGACTGGAACTGTGGATGTGGTTCTCCTGCTCTCGAACAGATTAAAAATTTATAGTGATGGATGCAATGAATCAACAGAGATTTCAATTGAAACCTGGTAACACATAACTATGGCTATATTAACTTTTGTAAAATATTTTTGTTTAATCCATTGAAGAGAACACAGTCAAGTTATTTATTTAATTTATGATATATGGAGGATAAACAAAATCAGAGTTAAGGATACAAAGTAAAGTTAAATAAATTCAGATATTAATATATATAATATTTACGTGGAAATGCAAATATATATTATTATACGTAAACGGAGAATAAAAATAAAAATAACGGACAGATTTAAGTGATTACAATGTTTTTTTGAAATGTTTAAATATTCAAATATGACCTCACGATCTTAAAAATTCTCCTTCTTCAAAATGAGAAAATCGTCTGCATAAAGATGTCTTTATACCCTTAAAATTCCCGAATACGTCCGAAGAACTCCGAAAATCAGAGCCTCCAATTAATAATCATCTTCAAACAGGAGGACAAAACAAAAAAAAATTTTCAATGCCGGGTACTTCCGCTGAAACCAGTTCCAGTGAAATTAATTTCATTAACTATTCATATCAAATAAAAATTCCGAAATTCATGGCTAATTTTCTATGTATCCACACTTTTGGACAAGAAAAGTAAATCTACCCTAAACGACCTTGAAATTGATTTTCATTAATTGCCGAATCATTTGGTCGCACCCGAAATGGATTTCCCGGAATTTCCAAAATACTCCAAAAATACCAAATTCTTCCCGAAAATCTATTTTCCCTGCGTGCAGATAATTATCCTGAATTTCAATAATTGTTTCAATCTCAATATCTTAACCCAGAGGACATTTAATCCTATTCCGAAAATCTGCAATATCAAAAATTCACATTCGCAAAAACGGAGGAGCCCTTGGCCGATTCCCCCCACGGCTGCTCCGTCCCCCGACACAAAAAAAAAATTCGCAAATCTCGAGACTCTCCGTCGATCGTGCAGATGGCAGTATTGCAGATTTTTTCGCACATGAGCAGAGGAGACGCGCGATTCTCCCCCGGTCGACTTTTCTCTGTATTAGTGTTGTACCGTGGCCGCGTGTAGTACAGTACAGTACGCCGGGACGACATGACCGCAAAACCCCCCGAATTAAACGTCAAAACCCCCCCAAAAAAAGTCGCAAAGAAGCCCCAAAGAGTCCCAACGTTCCCCTAATGACAAAAAAATCACCCCCAGTAATCAACTGTACGTGATTTAAGTGAGTGCTCTCAAGTGATAGTGTGTGGGTATTCGGTCAGACGGGTGGTGGGAGTTGGTACGAAACCGAGACAGAGATGATGGCTAAATTGAAAAGAGAAAATAAATTGTGAAGTAGCCGCGTGTCGTGCGCACTGTTTTTTCGGGGTTCCAATTCCGATTGAATTAATTCGTTAAAAAAAATATATATAAAAACATGAGGAAACCCCGAGAGGCTAAAATAATTTCCCGGTGAAAACCCCGAAAATATTCCCAAGCTTTCATTACCCGATCTGATATTCGTCAGTACTCTGGAGAATATTGTTCAATACTCATTACTACCCATCAATATTCTCACGATGTCATCCAAAATTCAACTCAACTGAGAAATACGTCTAGTCATCGCCAGTCGTTCGGATTTGCCATGCCTCGGCCTCGCAGACTGAATTACTCTTCTTACCAGTCCCCAATGCAGTGAACAATTGAATATCGCAATAGGATTGCTCATGACTCCCTGGAGAGTGTTCTAAATGCCGTACGTTAGTCTCTCCCAAAAAAAAAAAAAAAAAACATTGGATTGGCTGTTGCCGAGGGAGAGTCGACCGGAAATAAGGTGAAGGCACGGTTGGCGTTGGCGAATACCTTCGGTGTTTTGCGGGTTAAAATTCGAAAATTTGTCGAATTTATTTGGCAGTGGTGATGTGATGAAGACAACAGAAGGAGTGTTTTGTGGGCCCCTCTGCGTGCCACTGGATAATGAGAGCCAACCGGTGGTGTGTGGGACAGTGATGGAGGAGAAAAAAAAAATACTGTAATAAGAAGAGGAGGAAGGAAAAGATATAGAAGCCAGTCGTACGCGCAAGAGGGCAGTGATCTCTTGGGGAGCGGCGACCTGACACCAACGACCGATAGCTATAGGATACAAATCCCACTCTCTCGGGGGCCGCACCGCAGACTCCACGATGCTCCACTCGGATCGAATCGAGGATTCCAGGAGACGCTTCCCCCCATCCCCCTTTACCACCTTTTTTTTGTAGTTTCAAGGAACTTTGGGCAGACTGGGCCGCCACCGTTCGCTTTTCCTGAAGGTAATTGATTTATTATTTTTCTTTCACCCACTGATAAGACGTGTTTAATTTTGGATTGTCTTATCGAGAGCTTTTTTTGGTGGTTTTTTTTTAACGCTCTGAGACTTGTTGGTTTACCAGTCTGGGAGGAATTTTTTGGGGGATCGGAGAGTTTTTCGGGGGAATTGGGATGGATTTTTAGACTTCATGTGGTGTTGAGGACTGAAGTTCTCAGGGTATTTTTGGAATGAAGGAGTCTGTGAGTTGCAGGAAATGTGAGGTTTTCTGGGACTCCTGGAGTTGCTGGAAATTATGGTGAGCTTTTGGAGTTTAACGTTTTGGCATTTTTCGGGGGGTGTTTTAGGGGAAAGGAAGGGAAAGGGGGAATCACAGATCAGAAAATTTACAATTCAAAAATTGTGGGATTAAGAGGAAGCAGCAATCTGCAGAGAATAAATAATCTGAACAAGAATTTATTGTTCTATTTCCTGTCAACTTACACTGAAATTCCATAAAACCGACGGGTTTAACAGGAATTATTGATTTATACCTCAAAACGTTCGTTGATTTTTTTCTAAAAAATAATCAAGCCCCGAATTTCCTCCCACAGCCATCACATTTTCCTCGCTGACTCTCTTCTCAGTCTAATAAACCCATTCCATTCCATCTCGACTATCCACTCAACCCGACAAATTAATATTGACCAATTATCCAAAAGATAACAAAATAAAAGATAAAAAGCCTCTTACAATTTCAATAAGTGACTAAATAATTGAATGGGCACCAAAATTCCTACACGTTGGCATGAGTAAATAGATGTTAACACCTTCATTGATAAAAATCCGCGGATTGATAAACGAGCCCCGGAAATGAAGTAAAAGATGTAGAGACATAGACGTCAGGATTTTGAAGAATCGATTGGACATGGAAGCCAGTGGTGTAGGTTCGGTTGTACGTTTTTTCTTGTAAAAAATGAAAAATTATGAGCTAGAGGATAGGGTCAGTCGAGGCTGATTTCTGCGCTCATGCGTAGGCGCATACGTGCATTTAATATCTCCATCTTTCTCTCGTATTGTTTCATTTCCTCCCAAAGTTTACTGACCCTAGGCGTTTTTATTGTTTGAGGGGTGGGGGGGGACGAACAGATACCAACGAAAAATAACCAGATCGATGTGTTTTTACTCTGGTCCTTGTTTATCTCGGCTTCAGAGGGCAACAAACTGAATACTTTATCTCACTCGATTGCGTTATGACCGATCGATAATCGTCACACTTGTTGTCGTGGCATTGAGCCTCTCGTTAAGGTTATAATTGAGATATCAGGGGAAAGGGGAGGGGAAATTAATATGTCTTGTCTCAACTCGATTAAGATAATTATCGTCGTTGGGTAATGGTGATTTGTTCATTTTGCATGGGTGGATTTTCTATTAATTATTTGGGGGGTTGTCGTAAGGTAGGGTTTGGTGGGGGGATTTTTGGAATGGAGAAATCTTTTTTCGAAAGGGCGGAGCTCAAGGTCTGGGGGGGAGAACCTGCAGGTGGAGAATTTTCCGGGTGCATCTGCTCCGGGGCGGGGACGCACCCTAAAAAATGGTGGAAATTTTTGAACTGTCTGGGGGGACAAAATGGTTAATCTCTGGTGACAGGGGTTTCCTTATTTTTTATTCTTTTTGAGGGCGACAAATTTTTGATAAAATTTATCTTGACGATTTTATCTGATAAAATACCTGTATGACGTTCAGCGGAATGTCTAAGAGTAATTGGCATTTTTAGGCCGATTTTGTGGGGAAAATTTGAGAATTTTTTGAGTTTTTTTTCGCTAATTTTAGAATCTCCGTGTTGAGATTTCTGTTCTGCGGAAATTAATGGAAATCGTGACATTCAGTTCACTCGTTTAATTAAAACTGACTAAAAGGAAGAAAATCCGTGGAAAAATATATCGGTGAATATTTAATTAACTGAAAGTTCAACGTAATGTGATATTAAATATTTGATTGACAAGTAAAAATGGGAATGTGATTGAATTTCCCCTGAAATTCCGTTTTGTCAAAATCGAATTCGATGTCAATCTTCTCGCAATTACGAGTCCCTCAAATGTCAATTTTTTTCAAAGAAATCCCAATTATTATTAATAATTATTAAATATTGAGCAGAACAAAGGAAAGCGAATATCTTCATTGTTCTATTCCAGATTGAGCCATCAATTTCAAGAAAAATTCACACATCACCCGATATCCCTTATCACATTTCCAATCAATCCGCCTCTCTCCACCCTCTTTTCTGTAAACTGAACAACTGAATAAAACCCGGTCCTCTATCCCTCATTCTTCATTCGCCCCATGCAATAGTCCCATCAACAAATCACGTGTGAAAAAGTCAATGGAAACGATGAAAAAAATGATGGAAATATTTCTAGACCATTTAGGAATCGGTCGTTAACCCGAGGGAAAAAATGTCTCGACCTTCGGTGGGATTTTGGCAACTGTTAGAAGCACCTCTCACCCCTCGTTCTCTTTTTTCCCCAGGAAAATAGAGTGTGAGTCTTCCACTCTGATGACCACCCCCAAGCACGTAACAATGTTGCGGTAGGCCTGTCCACCACAATTCCACCCCAAGCCTCCTCTTCCTTTATCAATCAATTCTGAAAAAAGCTGAGAAAAGTAAGGGATGGGGGAAAAGAATTCGCTGAGACAGCGATTCAGTTCCAGGGATTTATATTGAGGATTATATCCATTTAAGAGGCCGCGAAATTCATTTACAAGAAACTAAATAGACCGAAGTGTTACATCACCTTTGCCATTGAATATTCAATAATAATTTTACGAATAAATGATGCAAGACTATGAGTATTGCTTCTCTAAATAGCACACTGAGAATGGTTTTTTGCGAAATGGTAAAATAGGATGA